AAAAAAAAAAAAAAAAAGGTAAAGTGCCTAGTTAGCGGGGCAGCTTTCTGAGTACCGCGCCACGCTAGCGGCTAAGCATGCAGAGGGCCCAATGGCCCATCAAATCGATGAATGTACAGAAGAAGGATCCTTGACAGAAGCACAGTGCGTGGCCCTGGGCGCCTTTCAGAAGAGCTCTTCACAGTCTTGTGTGGTTTCTGCGGCAGATCGAGCTGCGGCAAGTTCAAAAGCTCTCACCTTGCCAAAGCCTGGCGCTTTGAGTTACATGTGCAATGCTTGAGACTTGTGGCTTTGCCATACGCCAAATGCCGCCTCTCAGATGGGGCCTCAATGGGGAGTGGGGCCACTGCAACCGCAGCATTGCGAGCAGCCTTGGCAGAAGTAGTTACAGCACCAAGGTTTCGACCTTTGGCTCTGACTCAATACACATTACCACCCCAGGGGGAGAGGAAGACCAGGATAAGGCTGCTCTAAGTCCTTGCAAACATCTACCAGATAGTGGCGCAGACGAAGCACTAGAAAGGGCCCGTCTTTCATCAAGCAATGTGGCCCCTACGTGCACAGGAAAAGTGTCTGGAAAGAAGGGCCACAAAGGTGGGGGGAAGGTCATCAAACCGGTGGACGTCCTGGCACTTTTCCCGGACTGCGATGAATCATGTGGGGGAGCGGCGCAGGGCAAGTGGGGCAGTAAGAAGCGGCGAAAGTCGGTGGATTCAAAGGGGACAGCGTGCTTGAAAACAGACGGCGCACTCGGAAGTCCGTGCAAACGGCTGAGAATCACTCCTTGGGATGATGGAGAAAGTGACGGGCACATTGTCCAAGACATGGAAGATTCAAACGAGGCGCCCATTCGCACCCTGCCAAGCTCCGTCTCGCTTCCGAAGTGTCCGTACACTCAAGAACGGGCCGAGGAGTTGACTCGCAATCTGCTTGGTAGGTTCACAACCGACTCGCTTGCCAACATTGAGAAGTTCTTCTGCAAAGTGACAGGCTGGGATGCGGAAGCATACTTGTCAAGAAGTGGGAGGAAACCAAAGGTGTGGTATAGGGAGCGATTTGAGCTGATGCTAGAGAGTGGGAAACGCCTGGTGCCTTTGAAGCAGGATGGCTGTGACTTCGAGTTCAGGGACTGGTTGGAGAAAGAAGGGGGCAAGTCGGGGGTCAATGTCGAGGCTGATTCGGAGCGGTCTTCCAAGATCGAGCGGGAGTCGGTCGCGGAGCGGTTGGAAGAGATTGATCTGCTTTGTGGGGCCGAGGAAGTTTTTGGAGTAGAGACTGTGTCGGAAGCGAAGGGGCTGACGGAAGCAGAGGGGATGTCCAAAGCAGAGGAGGTAATCGACACTGAGAGAGTCCCCAAAGCAGAGAAGGCCGAAGAAGAAGACGTGTTCAAGATAGAAGAGATTTCTGTCAGTGGGGGGATACGCTGGCGTGCGTTGTCCAGGGAAGGGAAGCACAGTTGGAGAGCGAGCTGGCGAAACTGAGGGCACGCCTAACTGCAGCAGAGGCAGAGGCGGCCATTGCTCAGAAACGGATTGCGGAGCTCCAAACGGAGTCAGAAGTAGTGCGACTGTGTCTGGAAGGGCGGGTCTCGTGGTTGGAAGAGACATTGGCTGGAGCAAGGCCCAGTCTAGTTGCGACAGAGTTACTGAAGTTGCCAGAAGCTTCTGCTCAGGAGACTGCGGCGTCTTTGGTCGCTGGTGTCGGCAAGGGGGAAGAAAAGCTCGCAGGGGCGGAGGCACTGAAACAGATCGCAGAGACGAGGCTGTTGGAACGAGAGGAGGTACTAGCGACGGCTGAGGCCGCGAGGGGGAGCGCCGAGAAGAGACTGCAAGAGCAGGCGACCAGGTTAACCACCGCGGAGAAGGGACGGGTTATAGCTGTGAAAAGTTTGGGCGAGTTGGAAAGTGAGCATTCTGCGTTGATCACGCGTTTGATGGCAGCGAGGGAAGGGTGCATTGCGGCAAGTCGGAGGGCTGCGGCCGCTGAGAGGAGGGCGGCTGAACTGATGAGGGAACGGTTCGACCTGCTTGAGTGTCTGGAAGCCACGAAAGAGGACAGTGCGGCAACTAGCGTGAGAGCGGCCAGCGCCGAGGAGAGGGCTTGCGAAGCGGAGAGCCGAGCGGCGCAGTTGGAAATCGAAGAAAAGGAGAAGTTGGCGGCATTCGTTAGGGAGCGCTGCGAGCTGCTTCACGCTTTGGGCAACGTAGAAGACAAGCGTGCGGCAACTATTCTGAGGGCAGCAAAAGCCGAGCAGAGGGCCCGGGAGGCGGACAGTCGTGCGGCACAGGTGGAAAGCGAAGCACGGAAGAGGGTTGCGAACCTGAAGAGGGAGCGTTGCGAGCTGCTTGAGAGCTTGAAAGCCGCAAAAGAAGAGTGTGCGGCAACTAGTATGAGGGCGGCGAAAGCCGAGCAGAGGGCGCTCGAGGCGGAGAGCCGAACGGCGCAGTTAGAAAACGAAGAACGGGAGAGGGCGGCTGAAATGACCAGGGAACGTTGCGGGCTGCTTCAGAGTCTGAGAGCCGCGCAAGAGGAGCGTGCAGCAACTAGTGCAAGAACGGCGCAAGCCGAGGAGAGGGCGCTTGAGGCAGAGAGCCGAGCGGCGCACTTAGAAAACGAAGAACGGGAAAGGGTGGCTGAACTGACTAAAGAACGGTGTGAGCTGCTTGAGAAACTGAGGGTTTCGAAAGAGGAGTGTGCGGCAACTAGCGTGAGAGCAGCGAAAGCCGAGGAGAGGGCGCTTGAGGTCGAAAGCCGAGCGGCACAGTTTAGAAGCGAAGAAAGCAAGAGGGTGGCTGGCCTGGCTAAGGAGCGGTGTGAGCTGCTTGAGAGTCTGAGGGTTTCGAAAGAGGAGTGTGCGGCAATCAGCGTGAGAGCGGCAGAAGCCGAGGAGAGAGCGGTTGAGGTCGAAACCCGAGCGGCGCAGGTAGAAAACGAAGAACAGGAGAGGGTGGCTGAATCGAACAGGGAGCGTTGTGAGCTGCTTGAAAGCCTGAGAACCTCAAAAAGGAAGTGTACAATGAGAGCCGCGGAGAATCAAGCTGTAGCCCTCAACGGCGAGCAGGGAAGGGTGGCTGAATTGACCAGGGAGCCGTGTGTGCTGCTTGAGAGTTTGAGATCCGCGAAAGTAGAGCGTCCGGCAACTAGTACGAGAGCCGTGAAAGCCGAGGCGAGGGCCCTCGACGCCGAGAATCAAGCGGCGCAGTTAGAAGACGACACACGGGTGAGGGTGGTCGAACGGAAGAGGGAGCGGCATGAGCCGCTTGAGGGTGAAAAAGCGGCAGAAGAGGAGTGTGCGGCAACTAGCATGAGGACGGCAGAGTCCGGGGAGAGGGCCCTCGAGGCCGATTGTCGCGGGGGCAGCTTAGAGGAAGCACTCGAGCGCGCGGACAGGTTGATGAAGATACTTGGAATTCGCGTGGCGGAGGAGCAGCTGACGTCAGCATCGGACGGGGTGATGCCAACGTCTGAGTCGTGCGGGGGCGAGACAAGCGTGGAGGCCTTAGAGGAAGGGTCTCCTTTGCTAAAACCGGTGATAACAGAGAGCGCACAGATGCCGGACTGCGGGTTGTCCAGTCCTCGGAGGGAGGAGGGGCACTTAGAGAGAGGGGAAGACGAATCAACTTGCTCCTTGAAGGTAAGGAATCCAAATACGTATTTTGATCCTGTGTAGGCAAATCTGTTCAGAGATCAGTGTCAAGTCACTTGGTCAGAGATCGGGGTCGATTGCTGGGCTTTTCTGCTTCACGTTTTATGTTACCTTCGAAAAATGAGTTGAGAGTGCGTCGTCCAAGCGGCTTTGGTGATGTAAAGAGAAGCCTTTCAAACAAGTGTGTCCGAATAACATTGACTTTTGGTCGATACAGCATGTTGATTTGAAGCGTTTTTGAACAGTGGGCATGGTCACGCACCTTCTTTCGAGAATATGGAGAGTCAAATCGCCTGTAACCCAGCAATCGCGCTGGCACGAATCTATGGTAAACCTTCGTCTTCAAACAGGCAATATCTGCATTCGTTACAAGACAGGTTAGCAGCCCAGCATTGCGTAGCCAGCGCTGGTACGTACCTTATTTCTTGTCACGCTCCGTCTCCGCTTTAAAAGAGACTTTCTTCTGCAGTCGTCTCAAGAAAGTCATGTACACCCAAATCTTAGATGCTGACGTGCCAATCCTTTGCTTACACAGAAGCCGGAGAGGTCCTTAGAGTCCGCAACAGCGGCTCCCGTCAAATTCGACATGAACGAGATTCGAAAGCAGGCGGAAGAGTCAAAGGCCGAGCTAGGTTTGCCACGGCACGATGAGCGAGTGACTGAGCGGAACGATGCGCTCGCAGCGGTCGAAGAGGCGGAACGAGAGGCGAACGGCATGGTAAGCGGACTGCAGGCCTGATTGCAACTTCGTCTGATAAGAGAAGCGCACATGATTTTCCGTCTGGATCGACGACGGTTGTGTTTGAAGGCTTTCAGTATGCTTCCAAATGCACGAAGGTGCAGCTTCGCTTCTTTGAGAATGGCCGTCGGGGAGATCCTAGTATTGTGGAATCATCTACATGCCTCTATCCTTTGCCGTTTTCTCTCGAGGGATATCTTCCCTGCAAGCTTCATGCTTCATAACGCGCAAACGGCCTGTCGACTAGTTGTACGATCGCATATTTTGGAACCTGCCAAACGCGATTCCATGAGCCATCTGTCGACCATTTAAGATTTAAGGATGGGCAGCTTCTCTGCACCAGCAGACGTGATGAATACGCCACCCTCCGCTTCTATTGGAAGTACTTGCAAGGATCGAGATTTTTTTGAGTCGACACTTTCGTTGAAGAATCAAAGGCAGTCTCGCTAATTAAATATCCACGCAGCGAACTTTGACAAGCAACCAGATATCTGATAGCTCCAGGACCTTTTCTTCTGGAAGCTTTTCTCCATCTTGTGCTAGGACAGGCCTGAGCTCTAAGACTCTCAGAAAATAGATTGTGAAATTGGAAATACTTTCTCATGATACCATGATTTCAATGGCGGTCGAAGGCGGAGACTTCCTTCCTACCCACGTTCCATCAGTTGTGATGCAGCTTGCGGCCGGGTTTCCGCCCAGACTGGATCTACTGCCGGACGACCTGCCGATTGGGCTTTGGCAAACTGCGGTGAGGCGTGCGACATGTCGCCCTTCTCGTTTCACGAACTCGTGCTTTTCGTCTCGAAAGCGGAGCGCTAGATTCTGTGCGACGGGCGCCGCAGGTCAGGCAGGCTGGATATTATTGAAACTCGCAGAGTAGAAACCCTTGGAAGCGATAACGTCCGATGTTCAAAGCCTTGAGCGTGACCTGTCAGCATAGCTCCAAGCCTCGCCACGTCATCGAATCCGACGGTGTGGCAAAGAATCAGTCACTTTCCTCAGAACTGCCTTTGCAGTCTTCTCAGCCATGGGTCACCTTCTCAAAACAGAGTGATACCGAGCGTGCTTTGTTTTTGCTCCTTACGAAGATCTTGACACAGAGCCAGTGACGAAAATGCTCGAGCGGTATCTTTGTTGATTGTGGTAGACATGTGGGGATGCGGTGTAAGGATGTAGGACCGGCCGCTAATACACACCGTGTGCCGTCCTTCGTGTTTCCAGTCAATCAGCGCCGAAGAAGCAGCGGAACGGCTGCCGGCTCGCAGTCACAGAGCGTTCTGGAGGGGTCTTGGCTTCTCTCCGAAGCAGTCACAAGGGCGCTACACGATTCGGGCGTTTGGCACTGGCCGCCGGAGACTAGGGCAGTCTTCGAAGGACTTCAGAGTCGCATTTGAATCGGCGATTAAGGAACGAGTAGCGTTCGCTCAGCCGAGTGTTACTGCCACTGTCGCGGACGTCTGCACTGATGTTGGCAGCACTTGAGAGTGCTCCACGTGGCTTCGTGGGCTGCTCCCAAACGAGAGAAGCGTTGGGGATTTCGAAAATAGAGCTGCTTAGATGCGCGAGCCAAAACCGGCTCCTTAGGTGCTATAGAGCGAGTAAACTTCGTCGAAAGCATACGGAGAGAAGTTGCATGCAGCTGGCATGCGCTTCTTTGCCCCAGCGTCTGCCATATTGGGCGGCCGGTTGCACTCGCCATTGCTAGATTCATTCTTTCGTTGCTAGCTAGCCCAGTCAGCGAGGTAATCATATTCTTCATTGATCGCGTCTTGCGTACGACGTGATCAACGGTACGCGTATTTGGCCGGCACTGCCAGACGCGTAATAGAAACGTTATCGACCTTGAAATACTTCATGATCGATCATGTCCATCCATGCAGTGCCACATTACTTGCAGACGCTAGAAGGTTCTACGGGGGCCTCGAGTCCCCGGCTAATGATAGCTTCATGCAGAAACTATTGAATCATGCAAGTCACAGTCGGACACGCAGATTGCATGGTCGTTCACGGTTTCCACCCACTTTCAATGCCGCGAGCACCTCAGTACGTGCCGCGCCCAGGCACTATATGTCCGATCGGCCTTTAAGCTAGAAAATTGTCAAATTATACATAATAGGCCATTCAATTATGTCCGACATGATATCAGGTCCGGACGTGCATGGCGTATATGAATGCAGTACGGCATGCAGCCTAGCGCGCCGCATAGACGGGCCGCGCGCGTATGTATTGGCACGCTGTGCACGACGTACAGATATAAGGGGGCGGCCGTGCATGGGCGCCGACTTCACAGCTACGTATTATCTCGTTATACTCTTTGAGGTGTCACACTCCCAAAGAAATAACACAGAAATCATAGCGTACATAAGACAATTCGGCCGCGGAAAAAGGTCTTTGCGACTATGTATACCGTATATGACACATGTGCTTTAGGTAATCTTCACAAGTATTGCGGCATTGCAGATCGGCGCGCGGCTCAATAACGTAGGCCGCCCACCAGCAGAGACGTGAAAAGCTGGCTACATGCCATATCCCATTGAGCTCAGATTCATACAGCTCGCGCCAGCCTCCGCTGATGCATTAGGCAAAGAGCAGAAGAGAGTTTTCCACTGAACCTGCCAACCGTCGAGCTGTTTGCCCAAAGGCAAAGCTTGTAGCGGGTTCGCATGAGTGACAAGCTTTCTTCAACGAGAATTGACTGTCGTTTGTGTGGCAGTTTCTGAAACTTGCTCTGGATTCCTCGACGGTTCCTCTTTGTGCTCGCTCGCAAAAAGGCGGCTCGCGAGTCCTTCAACCCATATCCTATCTTTTGGTAACAAGAAGCGGTCCTCGTCCGAAAAGAGCATTATGGTCCCGTTCGACGGCGACGGAACTGCTTGAAAACACGCGGAGCGAACACTTGACGGAACAAAGCTCCACCTATCTACGCCTGCATTGACATAGACCAGTATCGTTTTAACAGCCAGTCCGGTAGTGCTTACAAATTCTGGTTGAGCCCTAATAACTGGTGCGTTTGCTAAAGGCATAGATTGCGCTTGTCTGAGATTGGCTCACCAAAGCCTTCCCAAGGTCTCCTGGCAGTGCCCTACAATGATTGCCCCGCAAAACAAGCTGGCAAGTCTACATTTAGTATATCATCATTCCGGAACAAAATCCCGTCGTTTTGAGTTCAACAACTGGTTCGAAGTTTCCGTCCTGAGTCCAACTTTGCGACGGCCGATTGTTTCACGGCTTGTCTTCACCGTCACATGTCTCAACCGGTCATTTTGTTGAGGCCAATCAACCAAACCTGCTAAGACACCTTCTCGTTTCTCCTATCGAGCCGACTGAGCACAAATAGTCCTATCTAACTACCATCCGACCGCGCTCTTATCAACAGCAACTAACAGGCGAAGGGAAAAGCACGTGAAGTGAGGAGGCCATACTTAAAAAAGGACGGACAAAAGGAGAAAGTTGATGTACGTCAGTGGGATAGCCTGCATGGGGGCTTGCCTGCTGAGGAAAGAGCTCCCCGGTCTGAGAGGTAGCGTTTAGTCCGCAGGACCTCCTTCACAAGCTTTTCTTCTAGAGATTCCGTTAGTAACTGCAACAAAGGGGTTGGCATAGACGCAGAGACCGCTCCTCGAGCGCAGACTACTCGACGCCCATCGCTTATGAGCTGCAGATCGAAAAAAGTGGGGGAATTTGTCCATGACATCGGTGGGTATCCCAAGTACTGTCACCGACCTGCAGCTCTTGCTTCTGAACAAACTGCCAGCTTTTCGATCAGTCTCACAACCACAGAATCCAACGCGAAGCCCGGTGTTTAGAAGCAATCCATTTGCTGTGCTTCAAGGCAATGTCGCTTGCAATCAATTGATATTGCACAGGCGTCTGTCACTTGTATCACAGCCAATGTGAGATGAAAGCGGTCTCTGCATGTTTCAACCAAAAGATCGAGTCGTCTTGCACGCACTCGGACACTCGGACGCGAAGCAGCTACCGGGACGATGCGTTGAATCTGTGTTGAATCGACGGATCGTCGGCTCGGCATACAAGGTAGTCTGTCGAACGCACATGCTTTAATTGCTTGCATGCGTAATGAAAGTGGGCTACGTCCTTGAGGAATCCCTCTGGCGCCTGCCGAACAAGGTGCGACCCGCAAATCAAAACACTCACCACCAAGTTAGTGCGGGTGTTCTTGAGCAGACTGTACGTGGTCCACGCCAGCTGCTGCTTGATGACGTCAGGCAGAGTGGGATCTAGAGCGAACACCCGCTGGCTCGTGCCGTCCAATTCGTCGGGGCTGGCGCGCCGCCCACCTTTACCCTCCTGCAAACCAAGGGGTTAATGGAATCGTAAACCCAACAGAAACCGAAGCAAACGAATCAGGTAAGAAAACGAGTGTATAGAATGGTGAAGCGAGTCTTCAGGGGTAATCAAACGATTAAATTGTGATTCAGTAGTTTCTGACTCTGTCGTAGTCTCAAGAAACAAGGCTCTCGAGACGTCTACGGTTGGACCGGGCTTGGATCCGGACCGGTTACTGGAAGAGGACTGTCAAGATTTGGTGGGAACTTTTCTTGGCTTTCTTTGGCTTCCGGTCGATTTGGAAGGGAAAGGGAGGAACGACCAATGTAACAACGCTGACAGAGAAGAGCGGCTGCAAATCGTAAACACCGTCGTTTACGATTGTTCGACACGTCGTTTGCCTCACCTGCAGGCGTCGACTGATGGAAGGGACTATGCACGCCAACACTGCGAGAATGGCGCCTAATGCTTCTGACCTCTGTTGAGAAAAGAGGAACGACGGTCAGCGAATTGCATGGTCAAGAATGATATCAGCTTGGTCGATTTTAAGCAAAGACTCTACAATGAGTGCAGAGGGTGCACTTTGCAAGTACCCAACTCCGCCTTTTGCACAGACAATTTCCTCTCGTAAGATGAGAGGTTGCAATCTCGATGAAGGTCGAGTAATATCCGTCAGGACGTGGAACAACACTTTGAACCTTAAGAACCCAGGTTCTACACCCTGTGGCTGAGAAACTACTGAATACACTGAAGCTTTTCAACAAAACGTTGGAAAGACTGCGAATGTCCGTGCTCAATCCATGCCCTTTCAAAACACGTACCCTTCAAACACGTATCCTGCAAACACTTGCGTACATCACTAAAACGAGCTTTCGACTTGCCTAGTTCACCCTCTGACCGATGAGCTGACAACTAAAACGAACCGACGAACCTCGTTTGAGGTGCTACGTAATTCGAAACCTGATAATAACGTAACTCATAACACTGTTGATTGCAAAGCGAAAGCGAATACAGTTCTACTTGTGGGATCTACACAGCAGAAACCAACTTTCAACAAGGACACCCCAGAATCAGTTGAAGCGCACTGTAAAATTTTCTGCAGCCAGGAGTCTACTCAATCTGCTCAGTATGAGCTTCTCAATCTGCTTACTAGCTGGGCGTCGGCTATGGGGGCTGGAGTAGCCAAATGGTTCCCCACGAGCAGCACCCCGACCAAACAACCTAGGATTCTTGGCAGAAGGGCGTCCTCAACGCCTGGGATCCCTGCAAGGAGCAAAACTTGTGGTGTTGACGCAAAGCTTGATTTACAAATCAAGAGAACGGCCAAACAATCAGTCACAAGCAATGACTTGATGATGCCCAGTGTTCCCTCAGTGATCTCCTAAGGTAAGCAAATGATTGGGGCCGGTGAAAAGTTGTCAAAGAGTGATCTCGTGAAGAAGCCATCTGCATTTGACTACTTTTATTGAGTTTTTGTTGATTTGGCTACAACTCATGATCCCAACTGCTGAGATCCTCTTACAAGGATCAGTGCACACACAGAAACCTCCTGTGGTACATTCCAGTAGAATGAAGCCACTTGACACCGACTGCATACGGCACAAGAGATTGGCGCCACTTCAAAGTTCCCAAAGTACTATTCCCTATCGACTGGTGAACGCAAACCAATAAGGCGCACCTCCCAGTTTCAAACTACTTTTTCTCACCTAAGGTGAAGCGGAAGACGGCCACGTCCAGCTCTGGCTCCTTCTGTGAAGATCCCCCCCGCTGTTCTTTAGCCAATGACCGCACTACGCCATGTTTTTGAGAGCGCCATCGAGCTGGTGTCCTCTCCGATTTCAAAGCAAGCTGCCATGGACTGAGAAACGCGCTTCGCAGCCTTCTGGCAATTCCTCTGCATCTAGTTTGAGATGCAGGACAAAGCCGCTGGTTGGAACTGGACAGAAGAGGGAGGTGTCCGCTAGCTGAGGGGGGGCTACCCGATGATTTACTTCTAGCCGATTTGGGAGATTGGTTTGATGTGGTGGTAGCGAAGCTAGAAAAGGGCGTGCACTGCCAAGAACAGCGACAAACTCCCTCCATGGCGACTGCTTGCTTGCTTGCTTGCTCAAGAGTCAATTCACACAACCTTCAGCTCCTGTTCAGAGCAAGGTTGCAACTGCTGACAGCGTTCGCGACAGCGCAGCCTGTAGTAAAAAGACTGGCTTAAAGTAGCAGCTGTCCTTTTCTCTCGAACACTTTTCAACAGAAGGCTGAAAAGCTACTCAAGAGAAATCACACAGGCTGCTGCGGAATCTACTCATACAGTAACTCATGCTTTGCGCATGCAATGCACAGCATCCACACTTGCGAGCCTTTCTATCAGCTGCGTCTTGCTAGCTTAGAAATTTAGGTATGTAATATAAATGATGATTTCAATGTCGTTTTTCATGGGCCGCAGCTGAATTTGTCTACCCGGTAATGGATATTGCTTAGAAACGGCAGCTATTCAGTTTTGGGCGTCTTCGTCGTCACCGATGTTACGGCATTTACTCGGGGGTCTACACAAGTCAATATTCCAATCTCTCTCATAATTTCCCACCCGCCCTGAACAATACCCCTTGAGATTCATCTTCGTTTGTAAATTGTAGCTCAACAACTCAGTGAACTGGAGAGACAGTCTACTAGTACTGACTGGAGAAGCTGCAGCGGCTGGAAAGCAAAGGCTTTGGTGGAGGGTGAGCTAGCCTTTTTTGGGAAAATCTCCCGTTTTCCCACAAGCAGCACAATGAAGCGAGCAAGAGAAGACGAAGCGGGGGCAGCAGCCGAGGCAGAGCAGCAGCAAGCTGCCGCAAGTAAAGACGATGCAGAGGATTCGGACACAGATGCGGATGGAGCGTTGGCAAGGCTGGGGGGAAGGGTGAAGAAAAGGGAGGTTGAATTGAGGAGAGAGTGTCCCTATTTGGCCACCGTCAACCGGCAGGTGAGAGGCTTTCTGTCTGTGTGATCTGGTGGTCTTCATGATCAAGTCTCTGAAGGTTTCATCCGAAGAATCCTTCTCGACCACCAAGCATTTTTGGACCATTAAGGAATCAACATCCATCCAGATGTCGGAAATTGTCATGTGAGGAAGGAAAGAAGCAATTGGGAGATTATGTACACCATGTTCGATTGGTGGTCAGCTGATTGGTTGTCCAGTTTAGCACTTTCCGGCTCCAATGGCGAAGTGAAATGCTCAGTCGTTTTGCTAAATAGTGCTCACTTTCTGCAAAGGAGTCTCCAAAACTTCAGTAGAAGCTCGCATAAGGCCAGTGTGAGAGGTCTGGACGCTGTTTTGGACTGGTGCCTCGCTTGAATCAGAGGCTCAGTTGGTTGATGGTTGCTGAGGGCATAAAGCAACATGTATTCTGCTAATCAAAGCACAGCGCATGATGCTAAAAGGCTGTTCTGGTCGCTTGCGGTTCGTTTTCCACTATCTCTAAGTCTTGCCTAGCACAACTCTTCTGGCTTCCCACTTCCCCCAGCTTTCAAAAATAAATTGGGTATGTTTGAAGTATTTCATTTTCCACCACCTTTCAGATCACAAAATGTGCAATTTGAAGAATGTAAAAGAAGTCCTTTCGCTTGTGTTTACTTCATAGAGCGCCTACTCTCTCACACTTCTTCTCTTACATGCCCTCTGAATTAAGCCTGTCTTTATGCTCATCTTTTTAGGTCCTGCATACAGCTCTGTTCTCTCCCCCTCCGCGAATTTGAATGAGTTTGAATGGCCCGTAAGCAAAAGAAGGTCAGAGGTGCCAGAGGTTCTGACTCAACCACTCCTCTCCTGGTCTTTTACTTCCATTTTGAACGTCCCTGCTCCATCTTTCTTCCAGAAGTTCATGTGCTTTTCCACTTTGTCGCAAACAATAACATTTCACACAAACACTGACCAATCCAAAGTTCCAACCTTCTACCTCCTTCCATAGGTTCCTCTCTTCGACTTCGAAAAGTTTTTCTCCATCTTTCCCTCCAATCTGTTGTGAACGTGCATTTTCTTTGCAGTCTTAGTTTCAAGATCCAAAGTGTCCGCTCCTCTGTGCAGGTTCTCGACTTCGACTTCGAAAAGTTTTGCTCCGTCTCCCTCTCCAACCTCAACGTGTACGGTTGCCTCGTGTGCGGAAAATACTTTCAGGGCCGAGGGAGAACCTCGCACGCATATGTACATAGCCTAGAGCAGGATCACCACGTGTTTGTTAACCTCCACACAGAAAAGGTGTACTGCCTTCCGGATGGCTACGAAGTTCTGGACCCCTCGCTTGAGGACATCAAGAGCGTGCTGAACCCGCGGTTAGTACTACCTCGATTCTTCCTAGCTCCTTGTGCTTTGCTTGAAGTTACTAATGGACGATGCTCCTAGTAGGACTTTTGTGTTCCAGCCTGTAGTCTGTACTTTGAGGTGGGTATGCAGTTCATTGGGCTGTTTGGAACGTATCTGAGACGGGCAAGCCGTGTTTTTCTCAGCCAATCGAAATTTCGTCTGGACCAAGTTTCCTACTCTATTTCTTCGCTTGCTAGTTTCTTCAAGCCACCAAGGTAGGTCGTTGTTGCGCGTTATGTGCTGACCTGTTTCTTCAATCATCCGCAGATCAAGTAAGAAAAAGTACAATTGATACATTCATTCAAGACCACATTTACTGCTGCAGGTTTACAAAGGACCACGTCGCTCATCTGGACAGCAACAAGCAGTGGTCGCGCGCTCTGGACGGGTCAGAATACATGCCGGGAATGGTGAGTACTCTAGCCGCATATGCGCCATCCTGAGCCGTTCAGATGTTCGATTTGTTTCTCAGAGCAATCACACCCTGAGGTACAACCACACTACGTGGTCGTGTGAGGAGGGCCGGTGAAACGAGGAGTTGAGTTGAAATCAATCTGGAAACGAGAGCTCAAAAGACTTACTGTCCCTACACCCAAACTGCACTGAGGATAATTCATCAAACAAACTCCAATCAAGTATCGAACGCCATGAGGACCCTTGGTCACAGTATTTCTCGGTCAAAGATTAACTTTGTATTCTGTTCCTTAGTCTGGCGTCAATGCCTGTCTGTCCGGGATTTTCGACAAAATGCTTCTGGGCATCCGGTTGAAAGAGCTGAAGGAAACAAATGAGACGTATTTGAAATGTCAACAGTCAACGTAACGAAGCTGAAGACGCGTCTTGTCTAGTCTATGTCATCCTAGGTCGAATCTCAACATTGCTCACTATTCACAAACTGTATCAATCTCTTCACCAGGTCGTGCTGAACAACATGAACGAGACCGACTCGAGCAACTCAATCGAAAGAACTCGCTCTATTTTTGAATATCATGACCAATTTTCCCTTCTCCAGCCAGGTTGGGCTGAACAACATCAGCAAGACGGGATTGATTAACTTGCTGACAATTTGAAGGAACCGCTCTACTCTCAACATAAAAAATGACCTTCCTTTTCCTTCTCCAATTAGGTTGGGCTGAACAACATCAACAAGGCCGACTCGAGCAGTTTGCTGACAATCTTAAGAAACCGCTCTATGTGCAAACTGAAATCCGTCCTTCTTTTCCTTCTCCAACTAGGTTGGGCTGAACAACATCAGCGAGACCGACTCTGCTAACAATGTTCAGAGACCACTGTGTTTTCGAAATCAAAATGACCTTCTTTTTCCTTCTCCAACTAGGTCGGGCTGAACAACATCAGCGAGACGGACTCGATCAACGTGGTCATCCAGTCGCTGCTGCGCGCCACCGCGGTACGCGACTTCTTCCTGCTCCCCGCCAACTACGCCCACGTGCGTTCCCCGCTCGTACAAACGCTTGGAGAGCTCGTGCGGAAAGTGTGGCACCCGCGCAACTTCAAGGGCCAGGTATGTCGAATATCTCCCCCCAACCTTGGCGGTCCTTGTATTTTAACTCTTTCTTTGAGAGTAGAGTGTCAAATTGCGTTAAGTTACGGCCGAGTACTTAGGTCATGCCCGGGGGACAGGTAGGGTTGATCTGGAGGTAGGTGTGGGTACGGGCGTAGAGCAGATTATATCTGGAGTTGAGCCCAAGGAAATCATTTGAACCCGACATTGGCCTAGCTCAACATAGAATTGAGATTTGTCCATTTGAGCCCGTTGATCGCTCCGACTTAAGAATGAGGCGGTCCAAGCTCGGGTACGTGGCGTAGTGAGTTGAAGTTTCCGAAAACAGACCAATCGTTGTTCAAAAGCGGTACGAGCTTCGACAGAAAACGGCGTCATTGGTACACGCCAACGTGCTTATCGAGGTGCTTTTGAGTTATGTTGAGTGCATTCTCTTACGCAACTGTTCGGCATCGTCTCCATGAGCAGCATCTCTTTGGAATTGCTTCCTGCCGTCCTTGAAATCTTTAATAGCTTCGCCCTTAGCGCAGCATGGAGTCTCACGTTGCTCCTTGTTTCGAGGAATTGCTCGACCGAGTCTTGATAATCTGACCACGAAGTGTCGGCGTTCGTACGAATTCCTATCATTTGCTATACTCCAAAGATATTCCCTTTATATGCTCAGCACCGTCTCTTCTAACTTGAACGGCAATCAGTCCGATGGCTAAGTTGCTACACTGTTTACCAATTTGATGCGCTTACCCCCAAAAACAGTTCACCCCGTGTCTCCTCTGCCATCCTCCTCCACGTGTTCCCTGACACCCTCTGCCACGTGTCGCCCAGGTGAGCCCCCACGAGTTCCTGCAAGCGGTTATGGTGGCGAGCAAGAAGCGGTTCCGCATCGGCGCGCAGAGCGATCCCGTCGAGTTTCTGTCGTGGCTTCTCAACACACTACATGTAGACCTGGGAGGGACGAAGGATCCAGACAGCAGCATAATCTACAAGTGCTTCCAGGTGAGAAACAGCATCAAATTAGGTGAACCCTCCCTCCGTGTGTTGCAGACACACGGAGGACACCGAACTTGTGAACACACAGCCAGCAGCTTTTCGTCTCCTGCGAGATTGGCAAGTCCGTGTCACAGCTCGCCGAGAAAAGAGGCTTGCTGACGTCAGCAACATTGTCCTTCCAGGGCAAGGTGTAGGCATTGACGGAGACACGATCAACCCGGCGGCCGGTTGCTGCCATCACACCGTGCATTTTGCAGCTTCTTGCTGAAATTATCCACTGACAGAAGCAACTGACGTGAACCGTTTCCCTGCAGAGCGAGTTGGAGAGAACGACGGAGACGCTAGATTAAGCCGGGGGCGGAGGAAATTGCTGCCTCCCGTCCCTCATCAAATCTGCGTTAGCAGCCCTTTGCTGGGGTAGATCACTGACAGAAGCAGCTGACGTCAGCATATTCTTTTGCACGGCGAGTTGGAGGTAACGACGGAGACGCAGATCAAGCCGGGTGCCAGTCGCTTGCCGATCATACGCACGCCTTTTGCTGACGTGAATCAGGTAGTCACGCAAGCAGCTGACGCCGATCAAGCCGGGGTCCCATTGCTGCCGCCCGCTTGTGATCATACTGCGCCTCTTGCTGACGTGAATAACATCGCAAGCAGCTGACGTAAGCAATCCATATCCTTGCAGGGGGAGTTGGAGGTAACGACGGAGATGCCGATCAAGCCGGGCGCTGATTGCTGCCTCCCGCCCCTTATAACATTGTGCGGTTAGGAGCCATACGCTGACGTAATTCACTTACAGAAGCAGCTGACGTCAGCCAACGTCTTTCTTGCAGGGCGAGTTGGAGGTAACGACGGAAACGCCGATCAAGCCGGGAGCGGAGGCAATTGCGGGGAAAGGAAAGAGGGCGGACGAGCCCGGGGAAGCGCCCCGGTTCTCGCAGACGACGGCGCGCATGCCCTTTCTGATGCTGGGTCTAGATCTGCCGCCGCCGCCACTGTTCAAAGACGCACTCGAGAAGAACATCATCCCCCAGGTAATCATCAAAGTGTATCGAAAGCGCATTCAAATCTGGGGTTCAAGACGTCGCGATGCCTCATGTGAGCCTTTGACTCCATTGAAGGGGTTTTTAGGCTTCACTCAGACTTCGGATTGCAAACATAGGTCCGTTCGACTCGCTGTCGACGCCGTGTGAATCGCGGGAGATGGACATCATCTTCTGAGACCGAGTAAGAAGATTAGACAGGATCAAAGACTTGTTTTTCTGTGCAACTATTTGCGATGCGTGTCCAAGGTGCAATTCCTCCATTCTTGCGATTCCCAATTATCGACACGTGGCACGCCCTCGTCCGTTCAGGTTCCCCTTTTCCAGATCATCAAGAAATACGACGGCGATACAGTCACCGAGAACGTGAAAACCGGTCGGAAGCGCTTCCGAGTCACGAAGCTGCCGCGGTACCTAATCCTCCACATGAAGCGGTTCACGAAGAACAGCTTCTTCATAGAAAAGAACCCGACCATCGGTAAGGGTGACGGAGGCGGGAGAGGACCAATGTTGACAGTAGACTCCTTGTCCATGTGCAAGTCTCCCGTTTCGTCTCATCTACGTGTTTACTTGCTCAGCTGATCTTTCGTGCTCCCCGATCCTGGTTGCCGAACCACCAGGGTTAAATTCCGTCCCACTCGATACACATAGGCGCCTCGCCAAACACTTGTAGGGCGGCCGAGATGACCTGAAGGTATATTGCGTGCTATTTGCATACTCGCCACCTTTGGAGAAAGCTTACCTTCGAAACATGCAGAGCAGTGTCAAGACGTGGGCGGTGCATCAGTACTTTCTTGTTTTCGTAAAGCGGCCGAGATGCAACGCTCGGCCCAGCCTGAGGTGCTTACTCCGTGGATTCGTTTGCAGTGACCTGATGCGCAGAACTCGGGGATACAAAACGCTCAAAGTGCTTGTTCGAATTGACAGAACGGTGCTCCCTCACAATTTTCTCCAATCGTTCCAAACTTGTCAAAGACTCTCAGGTTACGTGGGCTCCGTCAAGCTACGTACGAACTCGTCCCAGTGATATAGCCACGAACCACCTCATTCCGATTGGAAGTTGCTGCTTTTATTTCACAGGGGTCCCTAAGCACCTGTTTCCTGCAGACATTCTTTTCAAAATCCGAGAGCAGTACTGACTTTTGCCAGTCCTTCTCGAGGTGTTTGATGGCAGCAACAGAATTCTTGTACGACTCGCGACGCTGATTGTCTGCCTGCGTCTCTGCAGTCAACTTCCCCGTCAAAAACTTAGAGCTCAAGGACTATATCGAGGTGCCTCCGGGGGGGTCCAAGTACGATCTGATCGCGAATATCACGCACGACGGGCGGCCGAAGGAGGGGACGTACCGCGCGTTTGTGCACCGAAAGTCGGAAGACGTGTGGTGAGTACTGCCTGCCCTCGATCTACCTTTCGACTCTTTCCCGACTGTTGACTGTTTGTGTTTGTTAAACCCGATTTTGGCGACAGGCAGATGACCTGTTATATGCGCTCCCCTTGAGCTCCTTGTTCTCTTTTAACTACCCGACGGCTGCTCATTCCTTTCCTTTCACTCGCTTGACTTGGTCAAAAAGAGGAGTCAAGTCAAAGAAGGGAAGGAACGGCAAGGAAAGTATAGCCAAGTCGAGGACCATTTGTTGTCTGACTGCAGGAGAGATTCTGGCACGAAATGTCGATAAGATTGGCGGTTTGTTTTGGGCCACTCCTCGAACCGGGTCATTGCATTGACCAGCAAAAGTTTGTCGATCTGGATTGATCGATTTTTTTTGAGAATTTTCGTGTGGCGTTTGTTTGTCAGCAGAGCTCGTATGTTGGTGTGAGACGGGTTTGTAGAACGACATGCCGAAGCCGCATATCTGACAGATTCTGTCGCAAAAAAGCTTCGTTAGATGCCGTTGAGGAGCGAGTGGGACCTTTTTGACCCGCTTTCTGCGGGGAAACAACGAGCCTTTGTTGCGACATGCCTCCCAAAGTGTTTCGGCGACTTTTTCAGAGACTGCCTAGGGCTCGTGGTAGATGGGGTTCCCTTTTGCGTTGCGGTTTCACTTACACTACCGTCACTCACTTCTTTCGATTCTTCGACAGGTACGAGCTGCAAGACCTACACGTTACGGAGATCCTCCCGCAGATGGTAGCTCTTTCTGAGGCGTACCTCCAGATCTACGAGCAGCAAAGTATCCAACCCAAATAAGTTTACGGCCTACTGCGATCATAGCGACCTGGGACACCGGAGGAAATTATAGGAACCGTGGATTTGGATGTAGCATTCTGCGCTTTCTACCCCTTGTCTTTCGGGGCACATGTTCTCGGTGGCCTGGTCTCTCGGTTAACTACATTCAACGCATGCATGCTCGCACTGTATTGCGCGGCACTCCCTGCAACGAAATTGCAGTGCATGCGCCGCGCATGGTACATCGACCAGCACATCCTAAAGCTAGCCTGACCCGGCCAGCCTATAATGATCGTTCGCCAATCGGATCCCTCGCGATCGATTTGCCAATTGTGCATCATCTAATCAATGCCATATCTGATTCATACCTATTTGACGACGTGAGGCCGGCCGGGGACTCAGACCTTCAGTCGCCAACTTCAATTCGGTCTACTAGTTCAGCTATAGTGAGACCTTTAATAATAGATCATCCTGTCAATCAGGATCATGGCCCCGCGCAGAAAGGCACGGACTCAATACAATGTCAATTGAGGTCTTGCTCGTCGGACCAAAAGAGAAACTCAAAACTAGGATCTACGTTTTGTACATCCTACCTTATTTTAATAGATCTACAACTGGTATAATCATTAGCGCTTTTTAAAGAGCGGCTCCAATACACCATAATGCGACAATTTCTCTAACCTTTTCCTTAAGTTTAGACCTACGCCTCATGCCCAAGAATCGTTTGAAATGCTTCAAGTTTCAAACGTTCGAAGGACCCGTACAATGTGCTTGCTTCCCCTACGCTTCTCATGCGGCTTACGTCTATTCAATCTACAGCTACCGGCCTAGCAGTCGTTTCTGACTTGTAGACAGGGGGTCCTCAAACATGTTCAAATACCCCGCTAACGTTGCTCAACACGTTGTCAGCAGCAGGCTCCGGCAGATCTAGCTTCTGCATCCCCACGGAGGTCGGTTGGAACTGCACGTTCAGCTGCGGGCTGTTGTTGATTATCGACGCCATCATCCCGCTAAATGTCCCATGCTCCAGATCCGGCCCAAGATCGTCCGGCCCCAACCCCTCGAGGCTCTTCGGTAGCGGCGCGACCGCCGGTGAGTCCATCATGCTAGTTGCAACAAACGCCACTGTTGCCGGGCTCGGCGCACGCTCCGGCTCGTCCCTCAGCATCAAATGGTTCAGCGTCTCGCTGGCGAGCGGCTCGTCCGTGTAAAACGCGTTCCCTCCCCGCACGCTTTCGTCCTCCCCGAGACCGCCGTGCGTGAGAATGCTCCCAGCAAACGTCGAGGTCTCCTGGTCGGAGTCCGCGTCAAAATGGAACCGCCGCGGCGCATCCAAAAACGGCGCACCTCCGCTCGCCGGAGGAGCTTGCTGCAAATCTTCCCGCGAGCGCCGCGTCATGAACGGCCCCCCGTACCCATGGGCCCGGCCACCGCCCGCGCTCCGAGGGGGTGGCATCTCACCCGCATCGTCCGCCAGCCACACCGGCGAACTCAATGACGCCACTTGGTCCATCATGCTGACGTCACCCGAGGCCCGCCCACGCTGCACCTCCTGCCACTGCCGCTCCTGCAGCCTTCGGAGACTCCCCAGCGCCTCCCGGGCCCCGGGACCCGGGTTAGTCCCTAACCCATGCGAGTTGTGGGCGCTGGGACCCTGCTCATGGCCTAACCCGGGCTGGTTATTGTTGACCCCAAACTCCCAACCCCGCAGGTCGGGCTTGAACGGCCGCCGTGAGAGGAGGCCCCCATCGCTGAAACTTTGAAACGCACCCCCTCTCGGGGGGTTGCGAACAGCCCCTGCGCTGAGGCTCGAGCCCGCCCCCCCTCGCTTCCGCCCGGCTTCGAACCCTGCCAAAAACGCCTCAACCGTCGGCAGGGGGGCGCCCATGTGTGCAGACCCCTGCGAGCTCATTCCCCCCTGAGACGGATCCACAATTCCACTGCTGTTAGTCCCCCTCGACAACCCCCTGCCAGAGTTCGAAAGGTTCATCGATTCATGGCCGACGAAACCTCTGGACCCCCCCATTTCGTCGCCGCCGTGCTTGCTACCCTCTTCCTTTTGCCCGCCTCCGCCGAGGTGACTGGTGAACAGACTCCCCGCATGGGTGCTGCCCCCCCCGCCCCCGTGGCTGCTTCCCGAATCCGAAAACCCGTACCCGCTCGACAACTTTTCCAGGGGGAGACCCGACTGTAGCCACGTCAGCACGCTCGACTCCCCCCTCACGCGCTCGTCCCCGCTTCCCGGATACGCCTCTGAGAAAAGCGCGTCCGTTAACCGACCGGAACTTGACCCCCCGACCGACTCCGGCCCGCTTTCCGCAACACCCTCCTGCCCCCGGTGACTCGCCCAGCCAAAAACGCCCCCCCCGGCCGACAGCGTCTCGTGCGCAGCACCCACGACATGCCGAACGTCGGGGCTCGCGTTCTGGTTGTATAGCGAAACGATCCGAGAGGCCTCCGCTTGCCGGAACGCATTCACTTCGTCCAGCTTCTGGACGTCCATGTCGGCGAGCCCCGACGAGACCGGGGGCGCGTTCAGCAGCTGCGCGGCGCCACCCCCGCCGCGCACGCGGCCCTCGCCAAACTTGTTCGAGTCCGCGTCCGGCGGCCCAAGCGGCATTGCGATAAACGGCATCTTCTGGTCCTCGAACTCGTCAACCCCGACCTGTGCCCTCGCCGCCCCGAACTGATCGTTGGGCGCAAAAACGTGGTAGAACAGCTGGTTAGCCTCCGGCCCTTCTCCCCCCGCGCGCATCCACAGCCCCTGCGGCCCCCCTGGCGTGCCGAGCTGCATTCCATTTTCCGGCACGCCTAGTTCCTCCGCCTGCTCCTTTTCCTTCTTCTTCATCAGAGCCATGTGGGCGGCGCAAAGGCCCGTCTTCCCGCGAGCAAAACGCTCGCAAGGAGAGAGGAAATCGTCGGCCTTGTATTGGCACTTCTTCCCGCCCCCGTGCGCCTTGCACAGGTCCGTTTTCCCCTGCGCGGACTTGTCGCAGCCTGGCGCAACGCAGCGCTTGCCGCCGCCATGTCGCACGCAGAAGTCGGTCCGACCGCGGGCGCTTTTGGTGCACCCCAAAAACTTACACCTGTGAGAGGAGCGGGACTTCCGTCAAAGGGGGGCAACACACGCACACTCTGAAGGAGGGACCATCAAAAGGCTCTAGAAGGAAGTAAGAGATTTGTAAGATCTGAAAGCCTGGAAGGATGGAGGCAAGGTCGGCTACTATTGAGGATTTGGAAAGGAAAGACGCCACTAAGTTCATGGTTGAGAGTAACTCAGGAAGGAGACCCGATTTTGGCATCTGCAAGCGAGAAAACATAAGTTCCATAGCCAGATAACTTGTCTCCTCTTTGCATTGAGAGACCCATAAAAGTACTCGAGGAAAGAGGTTGATTGGACACCCAATAATCGTAGGAAGCCGCCAGTAAACACAAAGTCCGGTCAAAGAACTGCAAACCCGGTCGGAAACAGAGTCTCCCATGAGTATCGTCGATTCTGAGGATGGCATACACTTCCGCAGATGCTTGGGCGCAACGAAAAGCGCTTATGCACTTCCGGGGGACACTCAAAGCTGGGTTCAGCAAATCAACGTAGCTGCTGTCCACTGTGACAGTCTGGTCAAGCGAGAGGATGCTGGAACACAGAGCTCGCAGTGAAGCTTGTCGTGATGCTGATAAAAAAGTTACAGCCGACTGTGCACAGCAGGAAAACCGTTTTCGGATAACCACAAGATTGTCCAACTAGCCAACCCTTACAAGAGCAACCCTTTTGACCCCGTGTCAGGATCCATCCTCTTCTGACTTTCAAGCTCCCCCAGACTAAGCCGGTTCTACTTCCTCACCTTTTCCCGCCTCCATGCGCTACACAAAACTTGGTCCCCCCATGGACGCTTCTCGTGCAGGCCTGCCCCCCCTCGTAACTGCAGCGGTTGCCCCCCCCGTGCGCTTTGCAAAACGGCGTCCGCCCCTCCGCGCCTTTGGTGCATCCGGGCATGACGCACCGACGCCCCCCCCCATGCGCCTTGCAGAAGTTGGTGCTTCCCTGGGCGCCCTTGGTGCAGCCCAGCGCTTGACACCGCCGCCCACCTGCCAGCGGGATTAGCAGCTTGTGTCAAACAAAGCCAGGATAAAGGGCTTTTGGCAACTCGCTTAATGGAGCCCAGCATCAGCGAACCGTGGACGAGCGAGGGAGTGATGGGAAGGCCAGGAGGAAGAAACAGGAGGTCCATAATGAAGATCTGTAAATGGAGCAAGGACAGAACCTTCAGACAACCTGAGATCCAATCAACGCCCCGTTCATACGAACACTTTGGCACTCCAAGCGCCTGGTTTGTGGGACAACAAAGGGTATCAATAATGGACATTTTGAGCAGAAATGAAGACAGCGAAACTCTGTTCGACCCCAGTGCCTCAAATTTGACCAGAGGCCAGCACAGCAATCCGAGCTGAAGATACGACTGAGCCAGCTTCGAACTTTGCGATTCCACAACGAGATACACTTGCAACGAAGTGTGCTGACCTCCGTGACTGATGCACAGCTGGGTATGCCCCTCGGCGCTCCGTTGGCAGTTCTCCCGCTGACACCGCTTCCCACCCCCGTGCCGTATGCACAGGCCGGAGCTGCCTCGCGCACTGTGAGTACAGCCCTCAGCCTTGCACCTCCGCCCGCCTCCGTGTGCAATGCACATTTGCGCCTTGCCCTCTGCAGAGAAGAAGGTTGTATAAGTGACACATAGACAAGCTTGCAGTTCTCGAGCAATCCGTCGGCAGACTAGACAGTCAGCTCCGAGGTAGTGGGGTAAAATAATCAGGTTCATGATCAAAACGTTCATGTTGTGAGGTGTTTTAAGTCATTATCAGCACTGTATCGCCGTCATTGATCACAAGTGGTTCTCTGTCCTACTCGGGAATCTCAACCCTGCCTTCTGAAATGGACACCTTGCGCGACCCTCTCCGAAATTAAGCCCTCACAATTAGCTCCATGTAAGGATCAGTAGCACCTTTCACTGACATATATTACAGTGAGGGGTCGTTCCCGAAGGACCTTTTCGAATAAGTACATCAGTCCTCTGCCAAGGGCTATCTTGGACAACTAGTTGTGCAGTGAGGATGTTGCAAGACAACGCATTCCTTTGTGCAAAAATAATGTGCACCCAGCGCATTCTAGTTAAGCGGCCAAAGAGGAGCCTGCAAGCTTCCCAGTAGGTGCAGTCACGCAACCCTTGCAGAGATTCGTGCACCCAGCGTATGTTGGTTATGCGAGCAAAGAGGACCCTGCAAATTTCCCAGTAGGTGCAATCACGCAACCCAGCAGACTAGCGACCCAAATGGGTGACGGCAGCTTTTTGTGCATGCACACTCAGGACAAGGAGCTTCACCTGGTTGGTCTTCCTTACCGGCGCTCTTTGGGCACCCCTCCACCGAGCACGTCTTTCCCCCCCCGTGCGCCTTGCAGAACTTTGTCCTCCCCTCCGCTGCGTTGCTGCAGTCCTCGGTCGTGCACTTCTTCCCCCCTCCGTGGACAATGCAAAACGCGGTCCTCCCCCTAGCCGCAATTTCGCACCCCCGCCATGCGCACATCCGCTGTCCATTCGGCAGGAAATTTGGCCCCTGGACTAGCACCGAGTTCAGCACCCCCCCCCTCGGAACGACCCATCTTGCCCCCCTATTTCGGAGGAGAAATAGTCCCCCCCCTGTGACGAACCCCCCCCGCTGCTGCCCGCCAGCGAATGGGACACCGTTCGGGCATATTGCTCCGCGCTGTTCATCGGAATGCTGAACGAAGAATCCGAGGCCGCAAACGACGTGCTGAACCCGTGCCCAGTTGTGCTGAATACCTGAACCCCCCCGGTTGGTGGAGAACTCGACACCTGGCCCCCCTGGGGGAATGCCGAGATCCCGGTGACGGACCCCTCATAGCCTTGGCTGTGGTGGGACCCCTCGAAAGCCTGGCCGTGATGGCCCAAACCCTCAAACCCGGAAACTCGATGCGAGGAGCCTGCAAACCCCCTGCTGTGGTGTGTGGACCCATCATACCCCCTGCTGTGATGCCCCGAACCGTCAAACGCCTGGCCCCGGTGCGCAGACCCCTCGAAACCGTGGCCCGACGCTTCAAAAACGTGACCCCGGTGCGCGGAACCCTCATAACCCCCCGCCTGGTGAACTGAGCCATCGTACATTCCCTGACTGGGGTGGCCCCCGCTCATGAAGTCCCGCGTCTGGTGCACAGAGCGCAGCCCCCCGTGTGCAGATCCCTCAAAGCCTTCCCTATAAGGGGGCGGCATCCTCTCCCCGGTCTGCATCCCATCAACCCCATCCTCACGGAGTGCCGCACTGGGGGGATGCTCCTTCTCTAGAAACGACTCCAGCAAATTCGGCTCGTGCAGCGACTTGCCGAACGCTTCGTCCCCCGGGGCGTGCCCATCCGGCCCGTTGAGAAACGAGGTTAGAGGTTCGGAGTTGGGAACCGGGTATGCCTCGCTGATCGGCACAAGATCGCCGAACATGGAAACTCTCCCAGCTCGCACAGTGCGTCCCCCTGCGTCGGCATCGAGGCTGTCCCCCAGTTCCTTCATGCCGCCCCCTAATCCTTTCCCGGTTGGGCCTAGCAGGGGGGAACTCCCAAGCGACAGGAAATGATCCATCTCGAAGTCGGTGGGGTGCTGCGTGTGGAGCATGTCGGAGGAGGACGCCTCGTAGGGGCCGTAGTAGCTACCCATTGTGCCGGTGCGAATGGGCCCTGGTGCAGCTTTGGAGGCTATACGCACCAGAACCTACTCCAGAGACCGTTTAAAGAGCGCGGTACCTGCAGAAACAAGCGACTGCTTCTTAAGTGCTGCAGATTGCACATTGATCATGAGGCCTAATCTGGTGTCGATGAAGAGCATGGCATCTCAATAGAAATATGTGAGCACGCTAGCAAGTCACAATATGCATATAACTGGCTAGACTCTATATTAAAACACAGTTGTAAGGGCTGTTCAAAACCAGTCCAGGAGAATCAGCCACCTTGTCCTGTAAAACTTGAAAATTGGACACAAAATGGACCATTTCGTCAGTCGGCAAAGCTTGGTTGTCGAAACCTCCCGTCATGTGAACAGAAACATCATCTTGAATTGGTACTTTGATCTTCTTGTCTGCTGGCTGTGATTAATCAAGGAACAATCCTTAAGATTGTTTGATGCAGACACTGTGGTCAAATACAAACAAGAAGCATGCAAACGCTTGACGAATGCTGTACCATACATTCAAGCCCAATCAGGTTCTCCTTTGCCAACCCAGGAGATATTTGCTGGAATATTTTGAAAATGGCCAAGCAGACTAAGATCTGCGGCAACCAAAAGCACACCTCAGACTCAGCCGTAGAAGAGAGTCAGGCAGCAAAACCTGCGTGTCCATCTGTCTCAACATCCACATTGAGAGATAGGAGAGTAAACTCATTGGGCCCTGGGCTTTTAGATACAGAATGCAGCAGAACTGAGGCCGCGAGAGACAAAGAAGTGCAAAATAGAAGCACTAGGCTGCCGATCCAGGAGTCCAGTGCTTTTGATGTGACATAGCACGGATTTGGAAAAACTGCTCGCTTTTCTGATCAAGGGTTGATTTGCGAGAAGCAAACAGCAGTGCAGCCAGCATTCCAAATTGAAAGAGCAAGTTGAGCAGGCCAGCTTGATTCAACATGAGGTGCCTTTTGTACAAAGCCACAGGACAACTATGGGAACCCAATCGGGACACATGCCTATGTAGATCAACAAGCAAACATACATCACCAATATTTCTATTTGCAATTCACTTCAAAATCCAGGAACCAGGTTAAAGGAGACCTGCGTCAACGAGAGCCAGACTCGACACAGCTGCGAGCCGCAATCTTTTATCTGTTCAAGGAAGAAATGAAAAACAGGAATATGTGTTTCGACTCAAAGCAAACTGCCCCCTTCAGCGCTTGTTCTGCATGCAAGGCATCCTGAGCAAACTTGTATTACAAACTGAAAACGCATACTTCTGCTTGTTAAACTCAATACAAGCAAGCAAACAATATTGCAAATTCTGTTCTGAATTGGCAAATAATAAGCACCTCTCATTTAGCAGTGGATAAACAGCTTGCTTTTGAGGTAAAGTTGCTGAGGCCCCAAAAACCAAGGCCCCAAGGCAACATTGAGCAAGCCAATATGGAAGAGCTAATCAAAGCGCAGACAGCGACCGCACTTGAGTGCACATCTGGTTGGAGTGTCCAGGCAAGGTAGGACCTCAAATTTGCCCAGATAAGCTAAACGTGCGCAGATGTCTTGTTGGACTGACCTGATCATCTAGATGGTAATGGTGAGACACAGCTTGAAGGATGTGGAGACGTAGGTTCTGCTGTTTGCCTCAGACTAGATTTGATATAAACTGCAACCACATATTGCAGATTTGCAAGACTTACAGGAGCACTCAAACAAGGAACTTCGAATGTACTCCCAAACGCAACGAGCTTGAGTTTACGGAACAACGCAATGCTGCTCTATGTTGTGAAGTACACTTGGGATATCAACGGATGCAATCTGTGCATCCTACGAGCGCTCTTAGCACTAAATTTCCTTGATGGCGCACGCACAACTTAAACAAAGCATCAGACACAACAAAACCTCTCAGAATGTAGTTGCTATGAGCAATGTCTAGGTAACATGAAAAAAGAATATGAATGTAATAAATTGTATGAATTGTGTAGATGCAGAATAACATCCAACTTAGATCCATCAGAACAGTTGGAACTTAGACATCAGAGGAACAAAACATTACGTGTAGATGTTCAATCTGGCAATCGCACCTATTTCAGAACAGCCTACGGAACCAAGGAAGTGGAAGCTTCATTAGTAATTCAGCCACCGCCACTCAGCAGACTCTCAACTGTCAATCTTTCAAGTTCGCCTGGGAAAACCTCTCCGCAAACCCTGTCCAAGCAAACCCACATTGGTGCCGACACAAGGGAGAACGGACAATGCTGAAATTTACCACAAAACCAGAGGACTGGCAAGCAACTACAGCAAAAGCATCGGAAGGACCAACCAAAATAAATTATAAGGAAACAAGACTCATCTCCAAAGGAAGGACTCACCATCAAAACTCGTGGCATAAGCGCACCACTTCACTCGGATTTCGCCCACATTTTGATCCAGGCTCGCTCAGAAGGTAGCCCTGCCAGATTATTCAGCACCGGCGTGAGATCAGAGTTCGACTGCACATGCTCACTACCCCTTCTGATCCAACGCCCGAGTCCCTGCAAAATGATAGCCTCCTGTGTTGCCCTGAACCTCCTGATGACCAGCTCATATCTCACCCCGCCCTAACAACATGCTATTACCACCTCTGTGGAGACGTACCCTCCTCAGCCTAGGAGAAATGCAAATGCCAATTCCGATATGGCTCCCCCAACCCGGACCGCGCCCTGCAGCTGAAGCCTGAAACGCCTGCGCACTGATCTTGCTGACCATGCAAGTGAGATCATAGCCGCAAAATTTCAGTACATGTGGTACGTACCAAGCGCGACTGAGGTCTGTACTGCTTCAATTATTGGACAGTCCTGAGACCGTAAGATTGAACAGATTGCATCAACGGTTTTGAAACTTAGACCTCTCCTGCCCAATCTCTCATGTTCAGCAGTCCGATGGTCGAAAGCGGCAGTTGACGGCTGGTGAGCTGTTTTATGAACTAGATAGTTAAGTGAGATTTCTTCATGAGGACATGTTCAAACTTCAGGATCTTGTTTTCGCGATGATTTCGCACAGGCTGGACCCTGAACTCCGTAAACCTCGGCGCACAGAAATAAACCTCAAATTAAACATACCGACGACCGTATTCAATACACCGGTACCGAGAGAAGCTGTTAGGTAAACCTGATTTCACGAAACCTTGCATAGGTAACCAGCCCGCCATCTCATGTCTGCCAATAGGTAGGTAACCCAGATTTAATCAATCTCTCCGAAAAGGTTCTTGTTTCTATCTAGAACTACTGACCGTCCAAGATATCTTATCAACGGCAACGAGATGGCAGGGAGCTCCTGGCTCAAAGCACGGCAGTTGTCAGAGCCAGGGCCACCGGGCCGTATGATTGGTTTGTTCTGATTGCCAAAATCTTTCATCCAGCCGAACGGGTTCGAAATGGAGCCACGTGTTAGCGGCAAACCCCTTCTTGGCACTTGCACAACCACTGACACTGTGTACAAAACTTCCGGTTCCCTCCTCCGCGGCCTTTCAAGTTCTCCCCCGGGACCCCATCTTCTTCTGCTTCTTCATCATGTCAACCATGAATGATGAAGCCCCCTATGGCCCCTATCTTCACCTCACCACTTCGACGTGACTTGGAGCTATGAGCACCATCTGATCAGGGACTGATGGTGTCCCAGCCCGTTGGCAATGCTCTGCAGTTTGTCAGTAGTTCCGACCATGTCATCAAGCAATGATTCGACGAACACCTAACCCATAGAACGTTAAGGCATCTGTCTGGCAAGATGAGGTTCTGGAGGGCAGTTACCAAGGCGCGAACCGCGGCCTACCTGTGGTTTACGTTGTTAGAGGTCCTGCTGAGCACAGCAATGCACGCGGGGTTTGCATTCACAATCGCTGCGTCGGCAGTTGCGCGGGAGGTGCTCGTGACGCTGAGGACAGAAGGAGCAGTTGGCAGTGCTGCGGGTAAGTTTACATCTCGCATGACCAACCAGCAGTCTTTTCTGTGACTGATCTTTGGGGCCTTGTTCAAAGTTTCTCATGATGTTGAGGTGACTGCTACTTTATGCAACCTTCCAAACTATCATGATTTTAAAAGTGTGGTGTAGCTGTCAACTTGGACATGAGATGCTACTGAGTTTGCTCCAGGTTTGCAGCCTGACTTTATCCTGCCTCGGTTTGAAATGCTTTCTTTTCTACTCTTGCCGTTACAAGTGTGGTAATCAGGATGTTTGCGTGTAGAGAAAGTACTGTCTCGTGCTGTCCTAGGACACCGCTCAAAACGTTGTCCTGGACTGGTTTCTTGGGAACAAGGAACAGCTTGGATCAAAATCCAAACTGCCTGTTTGTCATTTATATAGTGACAGTGAAGCTAAGCTCGCTGCTCAAGGACTAAGGGTAAAGACTCCTAATCTGAAATGAGCTGCCGGCTGGCTAGGTTTTGTCTCGTTTCAGGTTGCATTGTATGTTTTGTTGAGGGTGACAAGCGCAACAACCAGAGCATAGATAGATCCAACCTTGGAGCAATCTGTGGGCAGAACCTCAAAGCCTGGAACCCTAATTCTCAACGCAGTCACATTAGTGGGGAATGTTATCCACCTCAGCAATGCCGTCATTGATTGTTGAAGATGGGCATGTCTTACCAGATTTACAGAGGCAAGCAGGTAAAGATTGTGAGCGTAATGATGGCAACAGCGTCTCTGCAACTAACCGTCGAAGGCTAGGACTACGTTTGCTGTCATTCAACTCGGCAACCTGCAATTTTCACCTTAGCCAGCGCTTGTGCTTGTGCTTGCAATTTCACACTGCAACATTCGCTTGATTTACCAGCCACTGGAGAAAGTGAACTAAAAAGCCTAACTCAAAAGATGACGCGCTTCGCATCTTAACCCACCCTAACAACCCCACCCGTCTCCCTTAGTCCAAGCGCCTCTTACTTCAAAGCAAACGTTGTCAGACTCCCAATCTGGAAATCTCATATGGGACAACGCAGACTGTGGTTCAAAAGTCATTGGAAAATCGCTTATCCTCTGCAGGGGCGTGGTCTGTTGCCAAGTCCTTCACGGGGTACATCGCAGAGGCGGAGCAGACCCCGGCCAGTTTGAAGCGCGAGCTGAACCGGGCCCCGCCCGGGGTATTCGACGGGCCGGAGGACGTGCCCATTGTGTTGGTCCATGGAATCTTTGGGTTTGGGAATCAGGTGCGCTTTGACAAATCACCTTCACGGGGTTGACTTTGCAGCAGTTGTGACGGTGTTGCAAATAGAATGACCGGACAATCGATTTTGAGCCAAGCCGGCGAGGGCTGTAGGGACAGGGATTTCGGGTGAACGTCAATTTGGTATGGGGCGAAGTCTTAGAAGATTTGGGGATTCAATGGATTCTGCAGAAGCACGGTGAAACACTGGTGGAATTGTACAGGCAAAAGGTGGTTGAATAGGTTGGCAGCTGCTGAGTTGGCAGGCTGAAAGTGCAAGTGACGGCGTCGTACCTGCTTCATATCCAACTCCCAACTTCTCCGCCAGAATTCATGGACCCCTTCAAGATCCATCGCAGCACCTAAGCATGCAATGGGTTGAGCTAGATTCGGATTGAGGTCGAAATTGGTTGCTGGGATAGAGTCCACATGACGGAGGAAAAGTGACGTTTTTGGTGAAGATTCAGTGGTGGGGCTCTCAGCCAAATCTCTAGGATAGGTACGGCGAAAATGACCCCTTGGTCTGCATTCGACCAAGGGCGCCACTTTTAGCTTGGGGTAGTTTTGGCCACAGGGAGGTTCTGACTGTGTCGGGTTCGGTTTGCAGAGGCTTTGTGGCACCAGCTACTGGGGCGGGGCGGAGCACCGGGCGAGGAACGTCATGGTGTCAGATGTCGGCGCGCTGGCGAGTCTGCACGACCGGTGAGCGGCCTTGACACCACCTAACGTGTGCATTCATGGAATAGATCGTGTCAGGTTCTCAAAGAACTTTGTTATTAACTAGTGAGGAATCAAGGATCACAGATTTCCTCGCTGGTTGTGAGGTGGGACGGTTGACCTAGGCGAAATGCACATCCTTATTTGCGGACGTCGCCGGTACGGCAAGACTCTGAACCGTTCTTCTGCAAACGTTTCCAAAACTTTTGAACAGCCTGCGAGCTTTTCTAAGAGGCGGGACGGTTTGATTACAGCCAAGGTAGACTCTGCATGCCTAGGGACCTCTGCAGGGCCTGCCGTTTGTACCACCAGATGAAGTGCGGTACGGTTGACTATTGAAAAAGAGCACAGTCGGGCTTGCGGGCACCGGCGCTACGGCAAAACCTAGGACGGGTTTCAACCGGACTGGTCCGAAAGTATTCAGTTTCTGACACCCTCGATTGTTTCCTTTTGCAGGGCCTGCGAGCTTTTCTACCAAATAAAGGGCGGCACGGTTGACTACGGAGAAGCGCACAGTCGAGCTTGCGGGCATAAGCGGTACGGTAAAACCTGGGACGGGTTTTATCCAAATTGGGACGAGAACCATCCGGTGCATTTCGTGGGGCACTCGTCCGGCGCGCAGACCATCCGGCTACTGCACACGATGCTGGCGGAGGGCGAATTCGAGGGGCATCCAAAGACGAACGCGAAGTGGGTGCTGAGCGTGACGTCACTGAGCGGGTCGTTGAACGGGACGACGCGGGTGTACCTGGACGGGTTGAGGTGCGCCGATAATTTTAGCGCCTCTTATCACCTGTGTGCATTTTTACGTGCCTCAATGGCTTCTGCCTGTCAGTTGATCAAGCCTCCCTCTGTGCTCGCACCTTGTCTTTCACTGTCCCCTACGTTTCGTTCTACGACTTGCTCTTGCTTTTCTCCTTTTCCTGCTTTTTATCTTCTGCATGTTCCTTCCTCGCGCTATTCCTTCCAAGTTCCATCGATCTCCTTCCGGCTCTTTATTCGGCGACCGTGAGTTCCTGCGGTCAACGAACTTTCACAAATCACAAATTGGACGGTGCTTCATGACTTTTTTCCTCAGTTTGATTTTCGCACGGACGGGTTTAAAGACAAGCTTCAACTTCCGTCCGTCATCCTATCAGCTTATCTTGCTATTTTCTCAACATGCTTGCCCTCAAAATTCGGTTTGGTTCCCGTCACCATCATCACCGATCACTTCGTCCTGGTTTTTCTGACGGCGCTGTTTGATTTCATCCTGTTGTCATATGGGCTCTCGCAAGGTTTCGTCTGCACTCCTTTGGCCTTATCTTTTTCGCTCCGAATCCATCATTTAGGAGTATTTGCCCCCACTCGAAATTCTATTTTTGTGTTGCCTCTCTAAGTTTCCCTACATGTATCTCACAACTCGTTCTTTCTGTCCGTGCTAGCTCCGAGGATGGCGCCACATTCCAGCCTGCTCAGCATCCTCGCCGTTCTTATTTTAAATATCCTTCTCGTTGCAATCATCTCTCGCGCTCGTTTTTCTCCGCTCTAGTTTCTCGGACGGCTCCATGCTGCGCCACCCCAGCCTGCTGAGTGCGCTCGCAATTGGCGTCGTCATCTCCCACTGGGTCGACACCTTTCTTGCTTTCATAACGATGTCATAGAACCCCTTTTTCTTCCGCTCTAATTTCTCCGACGGCACATGCTGCGTCACCCCAGCCTCCAGCGCATGGGTATCTTTCTTCTTCTGGCTCGTCACCTTTTTCCCTCTCATAACGATCTCACAGAATCCCTCCTTTCTCCCGCTCTAGTTTCTCCGACGGCACCACGCTGCGCCACCCCAGCCTGCTGAGCGTTCTCGCGATCGGCGTCGTCATCTTCCACTGGCTTGACATCGACTTCCTCAAAAAGTTTTACGATTTCGGGTTCGACCATTTCGAGCTGAGCTGGCACCAAGCTGGCGTCACGGGGCTCCTCGAGGCGCTGCTAGGGAGGCGGGGCCCGTTTGCTGGGACCGATTGGATCCTGCCGGATCTGAGCATACAAAGCAGCGCACGGCTGAACAAGCGACTGGCGACGTATCCGGATACCTTTTATTTTAGGTGAGGGTTTCTCCTTGGTTTAATGAGCAGTTTTCTCTGGGGATCGTTTGCCGGGACTGGTTGGATTCTGCCGGACCTGAGCATACAAAGCAGCGCATTCTTGAATAAGCGACCTCTCCGAATACCTGATATTTCAGGTGAAGGTTCCTTCTACTTTCGTAAGAAGGTTTGACCTTTCAAATTATTTTAGGGACCGTTTGCCGGGACCGATTGGAGTTCGCCGGATCTGAGCATACAGAACAGTGCGCGGTTGAACAAGCGACTGGCGACCTATCCGGATACCTTTTATTTTAGGTGAGGGCTTCTCCTTGGTTTCATCAGGCTTCAGTTTTCTTCAGGAACCGTTTGCCGGGACCGATTGGATTCAGCCGGACCTGAGCATACAGAGCAGCGCGCGGTTGATAAGCGACTGGCGACTTATTCGGATACCTTTTATTTTAGGTGAGGATTTATCGTTGGTTGAAAATCTGCTTCTTTTTGGGGACCAGTTGCCGAGGCCGATTGGATCTTGCCGGACCTGAGCATACAGAGCAGCGCGCAGTTGAACAAGCGACTGGCGACTTATCCGGATACCTTCTATGTTGGGTGAGAGTTTCTCCTTAGTTTCATTAGGAGTGTTGAGCATTCAGTTTTCTTTGAAGACCGTTTGCGGGGACCGATTGAATCCTGCCGGACCTGAGCATACAAAGCGGCGCGCGGTAAACAACCGACTGGCTACTTACCCGGATACCTATTACTTTAGGTGAGGTTGCCTCTTTGATGCAACGTCTAGTGGCAGAAGCGGCTGGACACTTATTTGGATACCCTTTATTTAAGGTGTCGGATCCTTTGTATGAGGATGTGCTCTTCATGGGATCTCCAGTGCATTAGTTGGGAGCCGTTACCTTGCTCGAACCTTCCGCAATTGGTTACAGACTGGAATGATCTGGTTGAAAGGAGCTTGCTTTGGTATGCGTGTTTGCGATCGCTCTGAATGCCTTCTTGGAGCGTCAGAAGCAGTGCCTGTAGCGGCTGTAAGATTATCTTTATGAACCCAGTGCAGGATTCGTCAGCCGGCTTCGTCGAAGCGATACCATCAGTTGTCATACTCCTTGTCCTTTTTTCTTTCTTGATCAGCGCTTCTTTCTCTGTTGCAGTCGTCAGAATGCAACAAATTGCTATCCGCAACGTGTCCCATCGCAATATCCGCCTTAAACTCGAGACGACGGTACATTGCATCCCAAGTAGGGACCTTCTTGGCTGTCTCCGACAAAGGAACCGCTGCCCGTGTCCTGCATCTGCTTCCAGATGCTTCTTCGGCAACATCAATGCACGCAGATTGCCGACTTTTCGCCCCTGGAGTCAATTCTCGATTGTTCTCTAGAAATGGCTCAGTGAGCTTATGTTATAGTATTGGGACGGGTATGGTTATTATTGTGGTTAGGGTGGGTACGGCTGCGGAGGGGGTGCTTTGTTGGATCTACATATATCAGTGTTAGCTTCGTTCTCACTAGAACTTGAGCTTACTTCAAATATTTCAGAAAAGGTAGTCAATTCTCTCCACAGTTACGCTACCTAACTCACTGGAGAAGTATTCATTTCTCTTGTCCCACAGTTACGCTACTGCTCAGACCCAGGAAGTGTTTGGCCGCCACGTCCCCGCCGGGAGCCAAGTACACCCATTGTTTGTTTGGAGGGTGCTCCAGATCGGGAGCTGGACGCACCCCCTGAACGTTCGGCTACCATACGAAGGTTACAGGTGAGCACTTTCTCAAGCCGGATCGTGATCATCACGAAGCATACCAGCCTTTCGAAGCCCGCTGGAGTTTCTTCGATGCGGTACGTTTCCGATCCCCCGGCACAAATGAATCCAACTCTCTCTTTTACTCTCAAGAAGCGCAAACGGTCAACCAGCTCTGCACACATTCTGCACTTCGTAAAATCACGTTCTCTCATGCAGTGTAGACTGAATTCAAGCTCGATTCACCTCATATGTCCTCTAGCCTTAGAGTTGAACGTTTCAGTTTCACAAGTCCCGAGGATCTATGGGGCCCTGAGCGCCTCCCAGCAAAAACGTGGTCGAGTAAGCATGATTTGCTTCTGGAGCGACTATCCTCCAAAGTTTTCCGTTTAGAGCTTGCGAATCTATTTTGCAGGGACGGAGATTGGTGGGAGAACGACGGTGCCTTGAACACCTTCTCGCAGTGACATTGTCGAATGAGGCTTGCTTCTGGAGCGACAACCCTTCCAGAGTCCCCGTTTAGAGCTTGCGAATCTGAATCTGCAGGGACGAGGATTGGTGGGAGAACGACGGGGCGCTTAACACTTTCTCGCAAATGTTCCCGCGGATCCCGGAGGAGCACGCGCACTGTTACGTGGGGGAGAAGGAGCTTCGGAACGGGCTCGTTCTGCGACCGGGGGTGTGGTGCGTCATCTATTTTGTTCTCTCTTTCCCTTTTCTTACGTCCCCGTCTTTCTCTTCGCTGCGCGGGAAAAGCGTTTGCATGGGATGTTGCGGTTCCGCTTGTAAGTTAAGCAGAGCTTGAGTTTTGTTGTGCTGACGCGACGCGGTGGCCGATGTCATCGAGCCGAAACTCCCACTGACGATACGCCTCGCTGCCCTCAAGTACAGTGAGGTCTTCCGTGTCACGGGGTTTCGATCTCGGCTACTTGCTAGATGCAGAAAGCGAACCGAAGAAGTTCGAGAGGGGCTCAAGTGTTTCCGACTTATCAAGGCTTTCTCTGCTTCGTGACCTGTGCTTTTGGCCGTAGCTTTGAAGACCCCCTGGCATTGGCTTTCGTGTTGAGATTGCTTTGCTGAGGTCGCACGCGTTGGCATCCTGGGGTGCCGTTCATGAACGACAGGAGCTATTTTTACCAACCACTGTTGTCTTGACGCTCCGTTGTTTCGTATGCAGGTACTACACCGTAATACGTGGGGACCATATACACTACATCATCAGTCCAACGAGGGGTGGGGACGCGTTTCTGGAGTTGTATGACAGCATTTTTGACAGGTGTCGAAACAGGTTAAAATGGGAGAGCGTGAACGGTCTAGACGGAATCGATGCGGTCTGCCGCTGCTTAAGGGAGTGCTTGTGTCAAGTCTCGTAGTTCAATCTGCAGAGGTGATCCGGCGGGGTACGAAAGAAACGGTTTGAGTGTGTCCGGGGTTGAGTGTCATTGGTTCGGCTTGACTAGGTAAGTAATAGTTGGTATATACTAAGACATTGGATCCTTTCGTGCATAACTATGTTTGTGTTTAACTAGGAGCAGCGGCCGGAAACATTATGGCGTAATATAAACTAACCTAACTATGTAACCTATGACAATATTGTTTGGTCGACGTGCCTGAGTAAGTTACCAGGTTGATCATTTGTTATTGTTGTTGTCGCGCAGTTCGCCCATTGTCTCCTCCAAGCGATTCGGACTTTGCATCGTAGAATGCGCCGGCATGCTCTGGCAGGCCAAACGATTGCATTAATGACCTCGCTAGCCGCCTCCGAATCTCGATCGGCTCACTCATGCTGATTAGAAGTCAATGGATGCAGATTCGACGGTTTACAACAGTGTTCTAGATCGAACGCACTAGCGGTGCAGTGGTATATATTTGTATCGCTCACGCGAATTGATAGATTCGGCGCTTCCGATTCAACAGGGATGCTTATCCTAGGAACCAAAGTAACCTTCAATCTGAGGCATGCACATATACAGCATGATACCGTACGAGCCTGAGTGACGTAAATGTGGAAGAGGCGATCGCATGCTGACTTTTTGCGGCCAACTTAGTGCTGCGGCATTTGCTCTGCACAGGCCCGTCAGAGTGGTAACCCATGCAACTTACCGCACCATCATTCTCTGGTGCAGCGAAGCTGCTTCCTAGACGGTCGGCCATCGCACTAACGCTTCTACAGCTGTAGAAGCCGGACTTAGCTGTAGCTAAGTCCGGCCAGCAACGGTAGATGATGAATTGTCGACTCCGGACAATATGCAAGATCCGAAGGGTACTTGGAAAGGTTGTTCCCAGGTTAATATTCTGTATGCAGATTAACTATGTTAACTTCAGCTACGATCGGCTACACAACGTTAGCAATACAGGCGTTTGCAAATCTGATTGGCTTCCTCTGTGCCGTTTCGACGTGGAAGTTGGAGCCGTTGTGAGGTCCCTTGACTGCCTCCAACGACTCAGAAACCACACAAGGAGCTAAGGAAGGAAAGCGCCAGAAGGAAGTGGCGTGACCAAAACAGCTCAACGCAGGGTACACAAGGCGGGTGTCAGTCACTTTTCCTTAAGTGCTGGGAGTTTTCCTGCATCGCGTCGTTTTATGGATACGGTGACGTGCGGGCCCTGAACATATTGAACGTGCGCGCCCACACGTTTCGAACGCGCTTATCAAAAATGGTGACAGGACACTGCTGTTGTGCTTTGGCTCAAACGACCATCTAGCTTCATAGATTACTAGAGGACCGTTTGCGGCAATATGACATCTGTTATATATTTGGGCAAGGTTTCGTGCCTTGGTTTTCCCGCTACTCCTGACCAGCACGAACTTCATTCACCTACATGCGACACGTGGCAAACCTTCAACCGCCCACATCCTCGCTTAGGAGCTTCCCTCCAATGATCTCCCTGAAGTCACTCTGCGACATCCCAGACTGTTGCAAGTACTCCAAAAATGTGTCTCTGGTTTTGACCAACTGCTTCCTGGCCGCTCCCGCCACGTCCGCATGACGTTTCTCTGCCTCAAGAACGTCTCGTTCTACCTTAGCTAGCTCCCAGCGGACGTTTCTTTTGGAGACTATGCGCAGCTTCTTGTTCTGCAAACTTTCGAGATCTTCAAGAACGTTGTTTTCCTTCTCTGAAAGGACCTTCAAGCGACTCATCTCGCGCTTGAGCGATCTCAGCGCCATCTCTGATGCACTCTGACCGGAATTTCTTTTGTACGTCAGGTAGATTGCAAGCCCACCTAGACCGCTTGCAGCACACAACCAGAACCAAGCGTTCATGTTTGGGGATTGAATTCAAAGTTGCAGCGGGGATATTTGGAGGAGAGGGAATCACTAAGCAAAGTATACTTGGCTGACATGTCTGTGACCGCTACGCCAGCACGGCTCACTTAAATTGGTCGGCCGCCGTGGCGATTGTGAGCTGGCTAGAGCATGAAGATAAAGGACACAGAAGCGCTAGTCTCAGCTCACGTTTCAGTTTGCTTCACCACTCCAAGTTTGGCAAGACGTGACCTTACGCAGCAATCAGAATCTGGGACCATGATTTGACCGGGCCCTCTCAGAAACGGCCATTGGGAGGTCACGCGCCCTCCATGATTTGACTGATTTCCCCAGTCTACCGGTTTGCATCAAGATGTAGATGAGATGCTTCAGTCCATAGGGGTATAATGACGTGTATGTCTCGAAAGAAGACGCCTAAATGCTGCATACGCACTGGGATTCGCAGATAAGATTCTTCACAAAATGTACAACTTGGATGTTCGAAGAGCGGGCAAAGAACATTGAAACATTGGCTGGAAATGGGAATGTATATTCAAGGGCGCGTAAAGTGAATAGCTCCATATAAACCCCTTGTGCTTCTGGACACACAGACCGTTTGGCGTAAGGTGCTTTTGGCAGCTGTCCGACGCAACGGCCTATTTGAGCAGTTTCCTGTCTCGAAATTGGATTGACATTCACTTCAAGATCAGTTCTCGGAGTTGCCCTCAGCCACGACTTGGGCGTGAGAATTCATTTTAATCACAGAATGAACGTTAAGCAACGCCCAAACGGTGTCTATGAGCCCTCCCACGATAAAGGAGCTCGGTCTCTAAGAATCTTGCCCATCTTTCTTCGGAAGCACATTGGTCGATATACTCGGAAAGTTTCTTCTCATGTTAATTCTTGATCTACCCGCCGCCTCGCTCATCCTTCGATTCTATCGCTCAAGTCGCTTTGTCAGCAGGCCCACTACCTGCTGAGACGCAAGTCAAAAGAAACCAAGCGCACGGCCTTTTGTCCGTTCCACCGCTGAAGGACGCCGCATACCTCGAGCTGAACTCTGGAGAGATTCCTGTCGAAGTCGAAGAAACGCATTTAAGGAAGTTTCAGTGGTGCATTTTTAGCAAAAACGAGGTCTACTTTCAAGCCAAAAGGGCGCGCGATACTACAAGAGAACGGCTTTAATTACGGCCGGGGACTGCTTGTCAAAGCTTCGAGAGCGGCAGATTTTTTGAATTGGGTGAACTAGATGCTGGAAATAGGCTGAACTTTCACGACAAACAATGACCAAGAGAATACGTAAAGGAGACGGGATAAGATTCAAAAACTTCAAATGTATCAAGATTCTCGAAACCAGCTCTTATAAAGAGCATCTACCAAAAGGAACGGGTATAGCGCAAGTACTGGGCTTTCTTCATCCACCTTCACATGACAACATCACACGAACATTCCAAATTCTTTGTAATTCTGTCGGTCGCAGATGTTTGCTTACCTCGATATGACGTGCACGTGTCTCCTCAGTTGCTCATCTCTAGCAGAAGCTCCACCAGGTCAAAAATACCTTGCGTTAGACCGAAGCGCCTCATATATTCCACGAACCCATCTCCTAGATTGTTCTCCTGTTTCGTAGCCGCCTTTACCGCACAAGCGTGCCGTTTTTCCGCACGTTTGACAGCCTTCTCCAACTTGGTTAGAAGGCGTGTCTCCTCTAGTTCTTCTACGGTAAGCACGCCTTTGATGAATGGAGCGGAAATCTGGTCCCGCTTCGCTTTCAAAACCATGGTTTCCTTAAGTAAAGCATACTCCTCGTCCAGTAGTTTCTTTATCTTGCTAAGCTCGCGCTGAAGAACTCTTAGCGCTTTCTCGGAACCCCTCTGGTCCGGCGCGCGCGCGCTTGGCAAGAGCAAAACGTCCGGCGCTACTTTTGCAGTACTACGCTCTTCTCTCGAAGAACAGAAGCAGCGACGGAAAGAAGCCATTCCTATACGAAAGGGCAGTGAATATGACCAAACAACGTTTAAGCTTGCTACTCGGCGCCCTGGTTCCGCTTGAGGCCGTTGTAGACCGGCCTTAGTGTGTTTTCAAGTCCGCGCCTGTATGCGTCAGTTGAAAAAGTAAGTCAGCCCTGTTCTCTGCGCGCTTGCCGCTAATTCAACAGGTCAAAACTTACAGAGCGTTTTGATGGAGCGCTCATATGAAGGCATCCACTTTCAACAATGCAATTGCACGTCCTCCTTGGCGCCTTTTATCAGTCGCAGTGGCATTTTCTCTAGCTACTTCAGAAAGATGTTCAAAAAAAGACAGGAACGCTATAGCGCCTCAAAGATTTCGTATCACTTGCGGAGTTGTGCAGAGCGCCGGTCACGTCAAGGGCCGGTGGGTCAGCGCTCAAGGTGGTGTCGCTACCGGGCTTCGCGCGCGCGCGCGGGTGCCATCTGAGCGCGCGCGCATGAAACAGTCGAGGGCTTTTGATGGGACCATTCGCGGCTGTTTCATGGCTCCCTGTTCGCAACGCTCCTTCCAAATTGGTTAGAGCAGATTCGCCCGCCAGGCTCAGACACAGTCGACGTGAGCTTTATCAAAAGCTGAGATGATTTGCTGCCAAAAAGGCGTCCTCCTATTCAAGGGCTGACTTGACTTCATGACCTATGTGGGTGTTCAATGCGCTTGAATGAACGAGGCCAAATCTCGGACCGGAATGCCGAAATGAGTGTCGTATCTACGACGAAGGATGACGAGTAGATTGAAGAACATCGATAAAATGTCTGCCGTTAAGCTGTGAACGAAGCTGTCCGCATACCACACAAGGCATGGATACCCATTAGGGAATTGAAAAGTGACACTGCAGGTTATATAGGTGACACGCTTTGAACGTGATCGATGCGACTGTCTAGACTGAAGGCATGAGCATGTGCTTCGTGTGGAACAACATTGAAAGGTCGTCATTGTCTCCTCTAATGACGTATTTTTCAATGTACTAATCTCGCCCGCAGGCGAGACCAGTTCACAACTCATGCTCATGCAGATCTGTCTGGTTTGAACTCTGCGCGCCTCCGAACACCCTTCTGCAATGATAAACTGAGATGGCAAAGCATATGAAAAAGCATACCCAGTCCAGAAGCGACGGACGAAATAAGTAAAAAGTAGTTTCTGAGAGTACCATAGTCTTAACCAAGGGATGCAACCGTCTACTTCACCATATTGAAATGATGCGAATTTGTTACATGATATGACCGTAGTGGAGTACCCATGGGCGCTTTAAGGGATAAAAAAGCACGTAACATGCCGCAATGCATGTGCCTAAAAGATGGAAATCGCAACCAGTCCTGAGAGCGAGACTGGTTGAGGCAAGAACTCAAAAGGCCCAAATACTCTCGTAGTAAACAGCAAAGCGTTTCTTTCACTGTAAGTCGAGATGTAGCTTTATGTAAGTCTCCTACACACTCGAATTAAAGATACTGCGTTATTGAAAGCTTTTGGTTTACATACAACGAGTTGACCTACTGCTGTACTGGCTATATATGAGACCATTTGAGACTGGACGCGCATCTCTACGCTCAATTCGCCGTCCAATTCTGTTTGTTACCGCGTCATTACTTGCCAATGCTCTCCTTCGCAAGCGCCCAAATAGCACGGAAGCCTGAGGCCATACCGTACCGCTTCGCAAAAGCCTTCAACTCTTCTAAAAACAGCATCCACTGCTTGAATACGGCTTCTGCCGCCGGAGCGTGCCGTTTCTCCGCTGCCTCGATGGTCTTTCCCAAAGCATCTCCAAAACCCAGTTCTTTGAGAATCTCCGGCGTGGCCTGACCGTGACGAATAAGGGCGGATCGGCACTCCTTTTTCTCCTTCAGAGCGTCTAGCTCCTTTTTCAGAAGCACTTCCTTTTCGTGAAGTGACTTCAGCAGCTTTGAATCTCGTCGTAGAGAAGTCAGCGCTTTCTCTGAACCGGTTTGGTCCGGGGGCCCCTGAAACAGGTAGACCGCTACCCCCACTCCGCTGGCGAAACATATCCCTGCAAAAAACGGGTGCATCGTGTGCAACTGGAGGTGTTGACAAGAAGCCCACTCGCCCTCCCACTTCTACTATTTTAATAAAAGGGGTAGCTAGCTAGAAGGATATCTTGCCGTCGCTTGGCGAAGAACCTTATGAGGTTTACATCAGCGGTCCTTCCACAACCCGCAACCTCAACGACGAAGGCGCGAGATCAGATACTTGTGAGCTTGATGTGACTATCCTAGGACGATGAAGTTTCTCTTCAGCAGATGACGAATGAGGATATTGCGCTTTGATCAATGTGACGTCAGCTCACATTGTCCGCAACCTGTGGAAACGGTCACATCCAGTATGTCGATGATCTTATGGTCTTGTTCGATCACCATGCGGGCTTCTGGGCTCTTCAAACCAAGCAGAGTAACTCGTCAAGAGCAATCGAAGTCAGTTCGATTGCACACGGTCAGCTTCTTGAATGCTGGCGAGACGTGCCGCGTGCCAAACGCTTGATGCAACGTCTACACGGATATTTAAGGGTTTGATCCACGCTTGTGCACTGTGCCACAGCGAATTGAATCAAGGGAAGATTCATCTTGAAGGCACTTCCTTTTGATCCCTGTTCGGCTGCAACCGATGTCATACAGAGCTTCCCGCATGTGGGCGCAATTGGCGATCGCCTAACGACAAGTTCACGAATCGAGCCTGCCAGCTCTAGTTCGATCACCCGCGTCGCATACATGCATGATTTACTGATCAGTGAGGCACGTTCTGCAGCACGCTTTCGTGAACTGGTAAGTTCACGATGCGTTGGTGACCACTTCATAATTACTCATTCTTTGCCTTTTTCTCTAGTCTGCAGCAGAGTTTCCAACATTCCGTGCCGGGAAGGCGCCAGATCAATACTTAGGCTTTTCAACGAAGCGTTGAGCACGTCACGTGGGAATGCAAATCAGAGTGCGTCATGGTGCATGAGCTGTCGCGGGTAGAACCTGCATGTCGGCCCGAACAAGTATTCATCTGTAAGAACGTCCGGTAGTCGGTTCCCCACAGCACCTACTCTAGCTCATTCTGATTCTGAGTCAGTGTTAATGGGGCTCCCTGTCAAAGATCCGCAAGCAATTGGGCCGGGAAGACAATTCACTGTTTATAAGGTATTACAAAATCACTAAAGGAGTGACGCTGTGGCGCCACCAGAGGTCCGACAAACGCTATCCGGTGTTGGAGTCGTTTGCAAGTACGTATGTACATGTTGCCTAGTATAGACCATGACTGTTCTGCTTACAACAAGTCGCTTATAATACGCTCTTGCCGGGATGGCCAGCGCAGACTAAATGAACCCCAGAAAATTGGGAATACTTTACACTGCCAGCTTGGTTGGCTTGGGCATTTGAAGCTTCCAAGTTTTTAAGGTGGTTGAAAGCGCTGACTTTTTCACGAGCGGACAGGATTCTAGAGGTCGAAACTGGCATGAGTCGTCCTCTGTTGCAGGACTCTCACGCATACCACCTGCAACATGAAATCCAGAAAGACATTTGATTTACTCAGGGAGTTGGACATTCTTTTTGATGTCAGTAGACCTTGTCGGGTGTTGGCCAGCAGCAGCGACCTACTAGTCGAGACGCCGGTTTCAAGGTCGCTGATCGTTTCCACTCCCTTGACCACGTCAGCCACGTGGTGCAGCGAACCAGTGGGAAGTCAGTAAGATGTTGACCGCAACGTCATCCGTGGCAGATGATTCGAAGCAAACGAAGGGTCAGGCGAAATGAAATTCAGCCGCTTTCGAGCCCTGTTCTGAGGCATCTTTCAAGCTCGCGATGCTCATACGTACAGTACAGAAAGGCTCAAATGGAAGAAGTCCAAAAGGCAAGTGCGTAGACTTGATTACTCGCAAAGGATGATAGGACCGAAGATCCAGGGCATGTTGATGGCAGTCGAAACTTCTGAGGCGACCACTCCTCTAAACGGTGAGGCGACTGTAACGCCAAGCCGAACAAGTTACAAGATCAGGCCCTTCTTGACGCCCTTACCGGCAGTTCCGTTTGTGGTACTTGTTTCCGTTCCGCACGATCGGCCCCCAGTCCGCCATACACAGCCAGCAGAACTGCGCCTTGCACCCCATCGCGGTCCCACACGTAAAGTGATCGCAACCGTCGTTTTTCTGCAAACCCTGCGCGCACTTCGGACAGCGCTTGACGCCAAGCCGCGCGAGCGCGGCGCGGCTCGCGGCCTCCTCGCGCGCGCGCGCGGCCGCGTCGCGCCTCCTGAGCTTCTCCGCCGCTTTCCGCTCTTCCGTCTCTGCGTTCCGTAGTTCCCAAGCGGCGGTCGGGGCGAGGCCGAAAAACGCGCGCCAACTCCGTTTCCTCCGAGACCCGTTTTCTTGTACGTCCGAATCTGGAGCGATCGCATCGTATTCGGCACACGTCATCCCCTCGTGAAAGACGACGCGGTGACGTGTGCAAACCCGGCTGTTGCAGGTGACGCACGACCAGAACGTGCTTTCGTCAGCGTCGTCGATGAGCTGGCCATTGCCGCAGCCGTTGTGAGGACACCACCGGAAATTGGGGTCCGTTTCCAGCGCGCGCTCGAAGAGGCGTTTCTCGTGGCAGGCAATCAGCGGGTCGCCTGCAAAGGTTCAAAAAGATACTCTGGGTTTTGCAGCTTCGAGTATTTGGCAGCATTTGAGAAGCCTATTTGGTGCGACACAGAGTTTCGTTGTGATTGGGTTCTTCTTCAAACGCTCGAAGAGCCCCTTCTCGTCGCAGGCAACTACCGGGTCGCCTGCAAATGGATCAAAAGGCAGTGCTTACTTTATGCAGCTTTCTGAGATCTTGCAGCAACGAGAAGCCAGTTTGGGGCCACCGGGCTTTCTCGAGCGCACGCTCAAAAGAAACGGTCTCTCGTGACACGCGACCAGCGGAGCACCTGCGAATGGATTGACGAGAACTCCCTAGTTCCTGCAACTTAAGAAAATCTTGCAGCGATGAACAACCAATCTACCCCGATACTGAGTTCCCTTCTCCAGCGCGCGCTCGACGCGCCGTTTTCCGTGGTAAGCCATCAGCGGGTCTCCTGCAAACGCATAGAAACCGATTCGTACAACCTGACAGAAAGAAAGAAACCAATCTCGTGCGACATTAGTTTCTTTGGAGTTGGGGTCCTTATGCAATGCGCGCTCGAGGAGGTTTCTCGTGGCAGGCGCTCAGCGGGTAGCCTGCAAACGGGTCGAAACGCAGTGCTTACAGTTCGTAGCTTTGTACGATACTGGCAGCAATAAGGAGCGAGTCTGGTGCAACATAGAGTTCCTTTAAATTGAGGTCCTTCTCCACCGCGCTCTCGAAGAGACGTTCCTTGTGGTACGCAATCACCGGATTGCCTGCAACCGGTCGAAGACGTTTCTGCAGCTTTGAAGAACCGGAGGCCCGGTTACGAAGTCTAGTGTGGTGTGACGCAGAGTCTCGTTAAAAGACCGATGGGCGGACGAGGTGAATGGGACCTGTACGGACCACAGACGTTCGATAACGCAGAATCAGTCCCACGAGGGGATACCTCAACGTGCCAGTCTCCGTGAGCACGAGTGATGCAACCATCCAGAGACGAACTATTATTCGAGGGTCAACCTCTGGTTCCAATCGTTGAGAGCAATGCAAGTTTGCGTCCCAACTACTGAAGTCTCCCCTCTGTAAAACACGAATCCACACCGTCGGATGGAAGTGACTGCCTAGACCTTGTGCGATATCAGCCGATGTGAACCCGTTTCCTTGATTCTTCCGCTCCCTTGAGTACGTTTGCAACTAGGGACGGAGCCAGCATGCAGCGGCGTTGAAATGGTTGATTGCAAAACGCAAAAGGAGAGCAGGGGAAATTTGTTGGGGAGTATTGTCGCAGGAGAACACAGAAGAGAGAATTTTCGCACCTACCTTACTCCGTACATGTGAATAGGACACTGCACGAGGAGGAGGTAAGGAGAAACGACCTCGGAAAAATCGAGACTCAAATACCACATCAAAAAAGCAACTTAAAAGATCAAGACAGGTTCTTGAAATGCAAAGTGTCCTGCTAGGTTGCCTTCTCGAGCAAGACTCACCTGCTTGATAGAGTGCTCGCAGATCTCGGTCTTCAACATTTGCCAGACAGTCTGGCGAAGGGCACACTAGAAGCTCCCCAACGCGTCCCTTCTCAACGACCTCCACTCGTAGATAATTCCGCAAGCAGTGTCTGTTTCAATGACGGTACAATATGCAGAGTCAGAGTCTGAGGAAGCCAAACTGATGGGGTTTTTGTACGTTGCTTCCGAATGCAAGGGGCCTTCCTCGGGCCCACATGAGTACAACTGGTTTCCTGCGATGGGCATTGTGCATTGCGAAAATTAGACGTCGTCGAAATTGGTGATAGGAAGGGGCACTTCAGGGGAGGGTTTGGGGCGCTTCGTGGAAGTCACTTGGAAGGTTTGATTTTCCTTTAGAACCCAGAAGCCGTAAAACTCCAAAACCCCAAACCCTGAAACCCTAACACCCCTGAAACCCTGAAATCCTACTGGAACCCACAAAGAACAAACAGGGACACCTGACCCTATTCACACATGCGCAGTGTCAATAACCAAAAAAAGAAGTGCCATTCAAAACTGATGCTGTGGCCTGGGAATCTTTGTAAAGACTCCAGGTATCTGGAGCAATGCGCCAACTTGCTAGGGACTCATGTGTGAACATATCAGAATATCAAGGAAATAGTAAATATCACGCCATTAGCCGGATTGACGTGACTAATCATTGCTTTGCCGTGAAAAGGCTCCCCTGAGTGAGCTGAGCTTACATGCAGACGTCGGGTTGGTGGGAGCACTGAGTGGTTGGAAGGCGGAACTTCGTGGGCCGCTTCTTTTCTGTGCATATCATGCACTCTGTACGGAAGTGTATTGTGTCAGGCATTCTTTCTAGCACTAGCTCATTCCTCTGCTGAAGGACTTGGCCACAACCATGGATCTTTATCAATGAGCTTCAATATCATGCACTCTCTCCAAATGCGTATTGTGCCAACCAATTTTTTCTAGCACTAGCTCACTCCTATGTCCGCTATATGAATGATTTCTGCCAATGAACTTCAAGACTGTACGATCTGCAAAAGCGCTGAAGATCAACAGTTGCGTGCAGTTTCATAGCATCTTGGGAATGCCACAGGGCAAGCACCTAGCTTAACAAATGCCTTAGAGCCTTGTGCAGCAAAGTTGGAATGGTTCAGAGGGCTGGCTTCCTAAGATGACGCACCTTTTGAAACCCCAAACTTTGAGGACATCATACCCTTGTAGGTCTGCCACCTGTTGGCCAAGTCGTTGGGCCCTCTGCAGATAAAGCAAAGGTGAGATCAGCATTGCTGACATCACTTGGTAGATTTGAGGGCCACGATTCTCTGCAGTTGACTACGACAGTAAGTTCTGCAGTCATAAGCATTCCTTGAAGCTGGAAACCTCAAGGTTTTGAAGGCGAGAGTCACCAGGTGTTCAAACCCCTTGGGGTTTGGTTGACTCAATTGTCCGGAGCCTGCATTTTATGCTATTGCTTCCGGAGTTGGTATAGATGCTAAACAAACATGTGCGTGTACACACTGAGCTATATTTCTCAGGCAATTCGCAAACAACGAAGGGCGTAAATTGGTGGCCACTTCTTCAAAAGCTCGAACCAGCATTGATTGGGGCACTTCTGAGCTGATCAAGAAAAGTCAGGCAATAGGATCTTGCTTGATCTTCTGTGCAGTTGATGTACAGCGCACTGGGTAAAGTACTTCATCTGTCTTTCCTTCCTTCACGATACTGTACATGTTTTGCACAGCCTCCTATCTACTGGACCGGAAACAGTGTGGTGTACTGCATTTCACAAGCAATAAAGACAACGTGGCCCTAGCAATTCGAGTCAGATACAAATATGTCCAAGCTTAATCCCACTTTGCAAAGCAAACAGTGCTGAGGTTAGAACTCTTGCCCAAACCCTTTCTGTCCACCACTCTCAGACTAACCTTCTCAAATGAGCAGTTGATAGTGCACATGGTCAAGCTCAGAAGCAGATAGGAGCTCATCACTCACGTATGCCTGACCGCTGTCTGCCTGCGTCGATGTGCAGCATTCGGCGCATCGCCCCTTCTTGCGCTCGTCTCTGTCAAGCCGCCTGCATAGCGGCAGCACAGGTCCACCGCGGCCAGCAAGGTCGCAGCCACAGCAAGAGAGGAAGCCACGTTGGTGAGCAATGTCCCCATGTTTGCAAGAGGAACCGCGTCTGTTGATAGTGGAAGTTTTGAGGGAATGCTTGTTTCCGGAAATCAGGAGAGCTCTGTAAATAGGCGCAGCGGCAGGGGGACCCCCCAACATTCCGATTCTTGGTGACGAACCCTACCATCCATGATCCGAGTCCGAGGACGAACTATGACGTCAGTATCTTCGACTTACCGGTCTCAAAGGTCGTGGAGTTGGATGGGCGGTTTGACCCACTCTTTACCTGACTCACGTCACCCCATCGCCACGTTTCTCGTTGATACTTCAAGCAGAGCAAAGCTCTCAGTCTGAGACTGAATACGGTAGTGCAATTTACATGTGGCTATGGAGGGATTGCAGAAGAAAGGGGAGCCTGGAGGCGCGCCACTGTTTGTTTCAATGAGCAGCTGAAGACGCAACAAGAGAGCTGGCTTTTGCAGCAGTAGTACGTGCGTTTGGGTGGCTCCGGTTTGAGACGTGAGCTTTTAGGAACCAAATTGCTCCTGGCAGACGTCCTTTGAGGACCACTTTTTTGGAGCTTTTGCCTAAAAGCTCATCTAGCTGGTTCAAGTGGACTGAGGCATCTGAACTTTCATGAAAAGATCACGAAAGGTTGTATCCACACCATGATTGTGGGAAAGGAAATCTCTGGAAAAACCAGCACTCAACCAGCAGCATTAGCAAGGCGCAGATGACATCAGCATGATGAGCGGGAATGGGTTCAAGTTCTTCCTCTCCTGCGACATCAATCTGCCCGTGCGCCTCAAGATCGAGAGTCTCGAGGGCAGCCTCTCACAGTCATCCGAGAATGCCCTTGCCGGACAGCTCTCGGATGCAGGAGAATCCTGGAAAGGTTCATTCGACCACAAAGGGAATGGGTTTCTCATGGAACCAGAGTTGTGCGTGGAGGCGGTGTTGACATTGGATGGCGTGCCGTTTGGTCTGCCTGTGAGGACAAGGCATGCGTCGAGCGGGGGAGCAGGGAAGCAGCACAGGTATGAAAATATGGCTGCCAAGTGTCGCCCGCTGCCTTTATCACAAAGTGGCGGAAGGGAGTACTTCTGGGGTTTGGATGCGGTGAAAGCTCAGTCTCGGAGATCATGCACGAAAGGGAGACACTTCCTTAGCTTGGCATCTGGCAGTGTTGCAGCTTCAAGTTCGCAGTTGCTTTGGATTTATATAGTATCTTGAAACAGTTTTTATCCACAATCTTCCAAATTGTAGTTGTCGTTGTTCATCTTTCATCTAGAAATACACAAAATAGAAGAGACAAGGCGGCAGACGCATTGCCTTCCTCATTGAAGGTTGCTCTTTCCACTATCAGTCAAAGATTGAGTCACCAGCTTTTTAAGATCAAAATCAGCATAACTCGCCCGCTCCGTAGTTCAAGCAATGTGGTGGATATCAGTCTGTGGATCATCATGGATCCACAATCCTTGTTAATGGCTGTCTGGTATCTGTAGCTTAGAAAAAGAATAATGAGGAATGGCTTTGTCAGGTAGGCGGGACAGAAGCAAGTTGATAAAAGTGGGGCGCAGGGATATGCTGCTCATGATTGCTCTTTGGACTTTTTGCTTTGCAGGCACGTCGAAGGCAGTAGCCAGTGGTTCTCTCTTGAATTTCCAGGGGACTACCCTGCACGTCAACTTACTTTAGCTGTCGCCTCAGTTGAAACCCCTCTTTCAATCTTCCCAGGTGGAGCGAATGGATCACCCTACACGTCAAGTACCGCGACCTTACCGCCAACGCCCAGGTCGCGCTCACGGTCTGGAACGTAGCGGACCCCCGGAAAGAAATTGCAGTTGGGGGCGCCACGTTGAGCCTCTTCAGTGGACGAAAACAGCTCAAAAGCGGACGGCAAAAGCTGCGGCTATGGCTCGGAAGGGAAGCGGACGGGGGGCTCCAGACGGCGACACCTGGCAAGGTGCCGAAGAAGGAGAGGGGGGAGGTGGAGCGGCTAGAGAAGTTGCTGAACAAGTATGAGAGGCAAGTTTTTATCTGTTCTTTTCCCCCTGCTTCTCAGTGTGCGATCTACGGACAAATTCAAGCTTGATGGCTGTGCAAAATGCTGAAGAAGGAGAGGGGGGAGGGGGAGCGGTTGGAGAAGTTACTGAACAAGTATGAGAGGTGAGTCGTGGAAAGAAGCTCAATAGCTCTGCTTTGTTAATCTGGTGTGGAGAGTCAATTGAGTTGCGGGTGATAAGTGTGTGAAGCTGTAAAAGGAGGAGAGGGGGGAGGTGGAGCGGCTGAACAAGTTGCTGAACATGTATGAGAGGTAAAGTTCTTTGGGGTTTAAGCGCTTCTTGGTGTGCTTTTTATCAGCGTTACAAAGATTGATGGCTATGCAAGGTGCCGAAGAAGGGTAGGGGGAAGGTGGAGCGGCTGGAAAGTTGCTGAACAAATATGAGAGGTAAGTTTCTGTGTAAGCGCTTCTTCGCGTGCTTGTCATCAGCATTCGAGATTGATAGCTGTGCAAGGTGCTGAGGGACGAAAGGGCAGAGGTTGACCGACTCGAGAATTGCTGAACAAGTATGAGAGGTGAGCTTTACGAAGAAAGGTGCTCCTGAATATGCTGTAGATTTTGCATTCGACAATTGGTGAATACTGTAAGGGTTGCAACAGCGGTATTATTATTGAAAAAGCTGCTGACCATGTTTGAGAGGTGACATTCTGGGTTCCAGCACTTGAATCCGATTCTTTGCCACCAAGAAGAAGTGACAGAGTGAAGAAGGTGCTGAGTTGACCTGGGGCTCGACTATTCTGTAAGACAAGCTCTCGTAGTCTTATTGAACATTTTGCCAAGTGACCTTTCAAAAGAATTGCAGGGGGAATTTTCTGAACTCTGAGCCCATGCCTGACCAAGTATAAGAGGGACATTCTGAAACAACGCTCTTTGCCTACCAGCTCCGTGTTTCTGGACCATTGATCACGACGGCTTTGGCAGCTCCAGCAATTGTCACCACATGCTCGGAGCCACTCCGTGATGCATGCTTGCTCCCTGCTTGGGCTAGGTTCACAAAGAATATGGTTGTAGCTCGTTTCTGAATGCAAGGAGTGAGTGGCTCAATCCAAAAAGGACGAGGCAGAAATACGAGCACGGATTCGGTGCCTGATCCGCATGTTGCTGCAGGGCTGAGCTGGCGCGCACCGATTGGCTCGACAAGCTCGCGTTCCGCGCGATCGAGCGTATCCGCGAGGAGAACCGCAAGAAGCTCGGCACATCGCACCTCGATCTAGTTGTCGAGCTCCCGTCCTTCGAGCACCCGGTCGCCTTCCAAGAGCTGGGCGCCCCTTTGCTCTCCCAGCCACTCTCGGCGACCAACGAGCTGGTGAAGGTGTACGACCCGGAGGTCGGGAGGCAGAACCCGAGCGAGGAGAAGCAGCTGAAGCTGGCCAGGGGGGTCAACCGAGGGCTAATTGACAAGGACCTGAAGGTGCGAGGTTTTGATTGCTGCGATGAGAGCTGAGCAAAACGACTGAACTTGTGCTATGCTCGTAGTTGCGAAGCTCGCATGAGATGATCGACCTGAGGTGTGTTGAGAACCTAGCGAAACGCCTGGAGTAGTAATATGCTTGTAAGGTCGCGAAGCCTTGGAACTTGGTCAGTTTGGAAAGGGTTAGCAAACAATCACTGAAACCGGTAGAACAAGCCGTGCAATGATGCATACGAAGGTTGCGAGCAACACATCTGCAGAGCACGCAGTATTTGATGGCGATCCTGGTAGGGAAGGGCGTAATCTGACACTACGAGAAGAAAAGGAAAGCTAACTCACCGTTCTGAAAACGTATTGAACAGGTGCGCCTACTTTGAGAAACGGCGTCGGCACACGTCTGACTTTGGGAGCATTTTGCGCTCCGTTTGTGACGCCGCCGGAGAATCAACACCCAGCCAATCGAGCAATTGAGTGACTACCTCCGGCCACTTCCTAACCCTTCGGTTCCGTTGCTCCCGCAGCCCAACTCGGCGGAACGGAAGGAGATCGCCGCGATCCTCCTCCAGCCCCCCAGCCGCGACCTCACCGGGGAGGAGCGGCAAGTCCTCTGGCGGTTCCGGTTCTCGCTAACCAACGAGAAACGGGCGCTAACCAAGTTTCTGAAATGCGTGGACTGGAGCGACGCCCAGGAATCGAAGCAGGCTACGGACCTAATGCACCGTTGGGCGTCCATTGATATTGCTGACGCACTCGAGCTGCTCTCGCCTGCTTTCGTCAGCGAAGAGGTGAGCTGCTTTTCGCTGCTCTTGTCAGCGAAGGGGTGAGCTATACCTTGATAGTCTGCTCTCTGAAACTCTCGTTTTAAGCTGGGGCCCCATGTTGTGGAAGAAATCGTCGAGCTCTGGACAAACTCAAACGTCTTTCGCCTTGGCGCCCCTTTGTGTTGTCGCTCGTTCAGCGTGATAGCTGGATTTTGAACGTTACGAGGATCTGGCTCACGAAGCCAAACGAGAAGCACCACTTTATGATTCAGATGTGTTCCTAGAGGGAAAATACAGCATCTGTCTCTCTGGGCGGTGGTAATTAAAACGTGGAGGAACGTAATTTTTGTATTCCAACTCTAGGGGACCGGTTGAACGCTAGTCAGAGGGCAGGATAGATTCACTCGCCTAGACGGTGATCAATTTGCGAGGGTAAGAAAGGCAGACGAGTACAGCTTCTTCCAGAAGCGCCGGTCAACGGTCGGAAAACCAAGGTCTAAGGATGTTGATACGTGGTATCGGAAATTCAAAAGGTGAACGACATGTAGCTTCATTTTGTACGTAGGCCGCTACAGTATTCTCCAAGGCTCTTCTTTCACGCGCTGGCTACTATTTGGAAAAATCCGTAGATTGACAAGCCAAACCTCATCCGTTTTGCTTTCCTTGTTGGATTGTTTACAATTCCTGTTCTTGAGAAGGCAGACGACGAGGAGCTGCAGGTTGAGACTTAGGTCAAAGGGAGATAATGCAACTCCCTCGCTTCAAGTGCTGCCTATGATTTCGGCTAAGGCCTCAAACGCCAGAGGTTTCCTTTCTAGGTCCGGTCGTACGCGGTTTCCGTTCTCGAGAAGGCGGACGATGAGGAGCTGCTGTGTTACCTGCTGCAGCTGGTGCAGGCGCTGCGCTACGAGCGGTCGGACCACTCGAGGCTGGCCTCCTTTCTGGTGCAGCGA